AAGAAGGAAAGAAAGAAAGAAAAGAAAAAGAAAAAACTGGCCTGAGTAGTGATTTTGACAGGAAAAAGTTTTGAAACTTACATTTTCTAGAGATATGTTGAATTTGGTTATGGTAAAAAAAATTGTAGCTTTATTTTAAAAAAAGGGGCCTGAGTAGTAATAAATTTGAGTTGAAAAGTTTTGAGACTTCTTACATTTTCTTTAGAAATACTGATTTTGGTGTTTGATTAAATAGATTATGTTGATGTGATTCCAAAATATGTACCTTTATTTATTTTTTTAGTTCTAAGTGTGTTGCATCTCTCTAAGAATTTTTTTCCACCTCTTTATTGCATGTTTAAAAAAAATCTGCTTTTTTATGTTATTTTCCATGTCAAGTCCGTTGTGGTCTTTTTTGTTTTTGTTTTGTCATTATTATTTTTGTGCTGTGTTGTAGGATTCATGTAAAATTTGCATAGATCATAAGATTCTCAAAATGTTTATAAATTTTCAGTTTCGTTTTAAGAAAGTATTTTTTAACCAATTTGTAGAAAGCTTATAAATGTTACCTTCTGTCATAATTATTGAGTTCTTAGATGAAATGTAAACTGTAATTATATTATGTATTTTATCTGTGATTGTTAGTACTGCATAATATAGATCTTTGCTTGTAGCATAGCCCCATTGTACATGAATTCTTTTGCCATTGCTTGAAAGGGTATAGTTTCTGATGGCAGGGATTCTGTGATAGAAATGAAGATGACCCCATTCCCATACCTAGTTCGATCTAGCAGGATCCACCCATCTCCATGTTTCCCACTAAATTGCACTCCGTTAAAGCAGCTACTGAAGCTGTTAGGGGGTGATTACTATCGTTAAGCAGTTTAGGTAGGTGTGTTAGACATCTAAGCCGCTTAAGCTGAATGCAATTTAGTGAAAATCCCCTCAGAGGTGGTTCGACCTTGCTAGATTGATCAAGGTATGGGGAAAGGGGTCATGGACGGACAAAAGTCTCATCAGTGTGAAAGGTTATTGTGTGTGTTGTGTATGTTGTGTACCTATGCTGACCCATTTATTTCCCTGTCTTACAGGTGCTTCCCCCTGTGTATCACAACAAGAGGCTTATTGTGTCAGGCAGAGCAAGGAAGATTTCCAGGGCAACTTGTCGTATCTTGTAAGTGGTGGTCAGTTAAAGCTCGTGGTTGGGTAACTTTGGGTAATTTAAAGGAATTTAATTTTAAGTTGGGTAATTTAAGACAGAGGGCTCACTCCCAATAAAACTGTCACTCTACGTAGATTGATCCAATAAGGGGACTCTAGCTGAATGCAGTCAGATTAGCCGATAAATACGCCTCCTCCTGGCGCTGAGTAGAATACAGAAAAGCTGGTGATTATACAAGCATTGTATGTTGGAAAAAAGACAAGGACAGTAGGAGTTAAATTGCTAATCTGATTACATTCAGTGAGAGTCCCCATGCATGGAGTTGGAACGATCTATGTAGAACAATAGTTTCCTTGGGAATGATCCCACGCTTTGCCGAATTTTAAAGCAATTTTGACATACTCCCTGCCCTTGTTCATTCCAATGTGATAAGTCCATCTTTTGCTGTGTATATTTTTCTATGTATATTTTTTCATTCCTCAGTGTGTACCCCAATGGTAAATTCAGCGAGGAAAGTAATGTGCTGCTCCAGATGAGCAATCTGCCGACTATGGGCAGAGTACTAGATGCGCTGGCGGAGCATGTCCGCCTCTCGACAGCAGCAGCCATAAGGCAGTATGTGACTTGATTTTATTTAATTCTTATTAAAAGATACATATAAGGAAAACAAGTTTGAAAATTGATTTATTCTGGTGCAACAGGTCATTTAATTATTTGTGAAGTATTACCATTATTACATGAATCTAGGTAATATTTTTAAACACATTTTATAGGTTGTTGATAATTCAATTATTTCAACATCATTAATGAATGGTAGGTGACTCCCTCACCTTATTAATGCTGATTGGTCAGTCTCCATTTTTTATTTGGCAGCCATTTTAGATCTTTTTTTTATTATTATTACTAGTATGCATAATTTTTGTTTGAGTGAAAAAAATTGTTTCCAAATAACACTATGAAAATTTTATTTTGAAGAAAGCAATCAAACGTTTTGTGTTATTTCACAAGTGAGGTAAATTTAATCATAAGAATAACTCTTTATGAATGACCTAGCCCAGAAACTTAAAACTTGTATGAAGTTGTTATTTCATTATAATGCACTATATGTATATATACAATGTATATTATATGTATTATAGTCTGTATGCTGTGGACACGTATGAGGAGGTAAAAGATCCCCGCATGCTGGAAAACGGGCAGAAATACGTGGCTGTGGGAGTTGAAAAGGTCGTAAAACACGGAAATTATGGACAAAGACCGCCTCCTTTGAACCTGTCGACTAAAGTAGAGAACACCAAACACCAGTAAGTTTTTGGTTCTGTTCATGGTGTGTGTGTGTGTGTGTGTGTGTGTGCGTGCGCATGCGCGCATGTGTGTATGTCAGCTTCTGTTGTAAGATGCCGTGGGAAATGAGAAGGTTGTAAAGCAAGAAAATTATGGACAAATAAGGCCTCCTTTGAACCTGTCAACTAAAATAGAGAACAGCCAACACCAGTAAGTGTTTGGGTTCTGTTCATGATGTGTGTGTATGTGTGTGTGTGTCAGCTTATGTTGTAGGAGAGAGATATATGATGTCTTTCATATCAGTCTATATCCCCCTGAGTTTCACAGTACTGCAGACAAGTAGTGTTTTAGTACTGGCTATAGAGATATGCTGCCTTTTGACTCTGAAACCCAGGTTACAAAATTAAGTAACAATACAGTATGGTTTGCAGTCATTACAGTACCTTTTGAGACCATTCCCACAGATATTTGGATCAATCTATCTCCTTGGGGAGCCCTGTCACGCCTAGTAAAACTGTTAGGGGGTTATTATCTTTACCTTTAGCTGATTCGGTAGGCGTGACAGACGTTTAAGGCTCTTGAGCTTATAGCAATTTAGCATGAACCCCCAGGGAGTTAGGTCGATCCAGATGGATCAATTTAAGTATGGGAACCCAGTCTTATGTTTCATTTCCTCTCCACAGAAAGCTACCCCCAATCAAAGCCAGATCCAAAAAAGATGGCATGAATTCCACGAGCGGCTCAGAAGATGGCAAGAAGAGCGAGGACGAGTGAGTTGAAGTTATTTAAAACTGGGAACAGCTTTTTGGTTTCTTGACATTTAGCTAGGATAGTGCTTTAAGATATACATTCTACTTTTTTTTCTGGTCAAACTATATATATCAGATGGCTAAAAAAATAACTGAGTTCAGACAAAAAAGATAAGATCATTTGCAAGACATGTACTAAACCATTTAGTTGTAGCTTGTACATAAATATATTTAAATCTGTTTGATTTTCATTCATTTATTTTTTTACATTGCATGGGGACCTTAACACACATAGCTTTGTTTCTAGAAATCCATTCCCGAGTTGTTTACTTACAAATGTAACCAATCCATTATATGATGCCACATGATTTAGTCATCTTTGAGATAACAGATGGACAAATTCAATATTCCACGCATGACACCATATTTTATCTTAAAGTTAGATAGATGCTGTTGTCATTGATATATGATACATACTGTGTTTGTCTTATGTATATTGAATTACTGGCTGTCGTATGATTGATGCCAGTTGGGGCACACGGCAAGCAATGGTGCATTACCAAGAATGTTTTATTCAGTGAAGTAGTAATGGTTGCGGTGGTGATTGATCGGTGTCCCGAGGATGACACACGCCTCCGCCTGCACATGTGTTTTCCGCAATCACCTGGTGTCACAGTTTCTAATACACACTTGGCGATATACTGACCCAGTATAGATGTAAACAAATCCACACCTGTAAACAAATATATTCCTGGTGATTAAAACGTGTTTTTACATGCAGAGGTGGGCAAACATACACACACACACCACGCACACATGCACATGCATACACACACACACACACTAGTGCCAGCACACACACACACACACACACACACACGCTAGTGCCAGCACACACACACATGCACGCATGCACGCACGCACACACACACACACGCTAGTGCCAGCACACACACACACACACACACGCACGCACACACACACTAGTGCCAACATCACATGTCACACACACACTGTTATAAACATGCATACAATATACACCTTGCGATAAACAAATCGACCCATAATAATAGAAACTTGGCGATAAGCAAACAAAATTGTTTGTCCGAGATCATGATCACCTCAGCTGTTCTCCTGTTGTGGGAACCCAATCTTGGACCATGAATATTACATGTTGTCCAGCATTGGAGACATGTGCAATTAATAAAGTAACAGTTGACTGACTGATGTTACCAAATGGCTTTCAGCTTATCATAATTATTGATGGCTTTAAGAAAGTCATGGGAATTTGGGGCCACTGCATAATCTGGGGGTTATCTGATGGCATTATTTGGCATTTCAGTTAAAAGTTAGTTAAATTTTCAACTAATTTTATTTTATTTATTTTATTCTCATTATTTTTAAAAAAAAAGTCATTTTATTTATTGATATTTTTCTAATATATCTAGGATGTGTTTAGCCAGATACTTTTTGTCCAGGTTTAAAAATGTATCATTTCTTGCATCACAAGCATCAAGAGAGCAGTTAACATTTACCCATAGTTTTATTTTTTTAAAAATGCCCACAAATAACTTTTTATACCAGCTTTAATTTTTATGGAGTCGTGGAGACTGCAGTTTGAAAGTGATACTAAAGAACATCTTTGTTTAGAGGAAGGATAATGTTAACTTTGTTTAATTTAATTCTCTTGTCTAGGTATCGTACCAGACACAAACAAAAGAAAGAAAGGAAAGAAAAAGAGAACGAGGCAGCCATTCCAACAAAACCAGTCTCCCACAAGAGGGCAGCAAAAGACAAGAAGAGCAAGAATGGAGCTGTCACATTCAACCCAGGTATTTGATGATAATAATAATAATAATAATAATAATAATAATAATAATAATAATAATAGTTGAAGAAGATGGGGGTTGAGATAAGGTGCATGGGACATCAATAGACCATATTGTTACACGCTGTGAGAATTCCACCCAAAGTGCTTCAAATCTAAGGAGTCTTTATGTCATGTAACTGAGTCTTTAGTATGCCTCAATTAAGTAATCATAATATTTAACACACAATCATCATGTATTTGCCTCTTTGCCTGCTTTCAGAGACTGGAATGCTTAGGTTCTACATCCGTGGTCGGCCCATCTCACTGCATGCTCCCACAAACTGTGACAACTACGAGCTGGATCAGGTGCTTCCTGCACCAGAGGAGACCTTGAAACTGGAGTGGGTGTATCCTTGACTGACAGAGAATTCACTGTTTGTTTTGTGTTGTATTTTTAAAAGTTTTTGTATATTAAATCACCATTGTTTTGATTTCATGTTCTGTTTTCCTGGGTTTTCCTTTTTAAAAGATTTGGAAGCTGGTGATGTGTGATTGTGGTCATGCTAGTTATAATATGCTATGGAGAGAAAGTGTGTTTGTTTTTTGTTTGTGTATGTCACAGATATATATATATATATATATAGAGAGAGAGAGAGAGAGAGAGAGAGAGAGAGAGAGAGAGAGAGGAACATATACACGGGCCTGCTGGTTCCATTGCTTACAAGCTGACTAAATAAAAACTTGTTCGCATTTCATTATGATTATCCAACATCTTTTCCACCTCCATTCTCTGTCTGTCCAAAATGACACAGTAGCACATTCCTTGACTGGCTATCAGGTATGGCTATCGCGGCAAAGACTGCAGGTCTAACATGTTTTACCTGCCATCAGGAGAGCTGGTATACCACATGGCGGCAGTGGCCGTACTGTACAATGTCCAGACCAAGACCCAGCGCCACTACCTGGACCACACTGATGATATCAAGTGGTGAGTGGACCTAGAGATGTGTGAAAATTTTAAAGGGTTCAAGATTTTTTATAGTATCCAGTCGTGAAGTACAGCATCTTCTTTCTCAGAGTTGCCAATTTTGTAAATGTGAAAATATCTCTTTGCATGTTAAAGTTGGCAACTCTTCTTTCTGTATTAGCATGAGAATGTTTCTCGTGGAACTTTAATGATGTTTCCAGCTAATTTTGTTAAATACACTTTTTGCTAACCATTTCTAAGTGACCGTAAGTCAAGACCATGTATTTATATGAAATAATATCTTAAATAATGTTAAACAGGCAGAAGCAATAGCAACTTACACACAACAAAAATAGTAGTTACTAGTAACTGTCCAAATGATGAGTCATTTTCAGCTAATTGACATACCTTGTGCATGCATCTGCCATTTGTTTTCAATATTTCCCTTTGAATATCAGATCCAAAAAAAGAAAAAAAAGGTTTTAACTCTGTGCTGATCACTGTTTTCTTTGTTCAGTCTTGCTGTCCATCCTGACCAAGTGACCATAGTGACCGGCCAGGTAGAGGGACACGCTGAGAAGCAGGGTCAGCCGCATGTCCGAATCTGGAGCTCGGACACTCTGGAGACACTACATGTGATTGGACTGAAGGACTTTGAGATCGCTGTCGCCTGTGTGGCATTTTCTAGATTTGTAAGTGCTTTAGTTCCAAGTGTCAGTGTGAAAAAAAAAAAAGAAATGTATGGAATGAAACTTAATTTTTAGTCAGCAGGTAAATTATTGAAAATATTGAAAATGAGAAAACTAGATATCAGATAAAAGATAATTTAAGTGTTTGAAATTTAAAAATAATTGCAGCAGCTTTAAATAAGGGTGCATTTCCAGAGATTTAGATCGATCCAGAGATTTAGATTTAGATCGACCTAACTCCCTGGTGGTTCACGCTAAATTGCAGTCAGCCGAGCGCGCACCACAGTTAATTACCCCCTTACAGCTTTTAGTAGGCGTCACAGATGCTTAAGCCAGCTAAGCTGACAGTTATCTAGTGAGACTCCCCACAGGGATAGATCGCTCCAAAATCTATGGGAATGGGGTCTAAATGTATGTATAATTTCAGGATGGCGGAGAGCTGCTGGCTGCATTTGATGATGACAACGACCACACCCTGCTGCTATATGATTGGAAGAATGAGAAGAAGCTCCTGCAGCAAAAGGTAACACACACCCATGCATGTGCATGCCCACACACACACACACACACACACACATATGCGGATATGGTTGTCCAGTTGTCCAGCTCTCAGACCATGAGGTCAGTTTCAAGCTGTTCTTAAATTTTAATTGTCTTCACATTGTGCATGTGAACACTGGTCTCAAATCCCTCTGTCAGTTTCCATAATTTTTCTACTGCAGACAAAGTAAAGTGAGGCATCTTTCCCTTATCTGTAATGCCACAATATTTTGATATAACTTTCAGAGTTGTCCTGATCCTATCTGTGAAGTGGAGTTCCACCCCATGGAAAACACAGTGGTGGCCTGTGGCAAGCAGCAGGTGCTCTTCTTTGAGATAGAAGATGGACAGGCAGACAAGAAAATGGGACTCTTTGAGGTATGGACACAAGTTACAGCGTAACATAACATTACTATATACTTCATGGCAACATGACATGACATGACATGACATGACACGATGTGGCATGATATGGCATGACAGGACATGATGTAGCATGACACACTACAGTTATATTCATGTGTTTCATATTGTTGATACTGTTTTCTGTACCCTCTAGACCACAGAACAAAGTCCTTGTAATTTTTTTTTTTTTTTTTCAAATTAAATTTCATTAATTACACGACTCTGTAGTGTTAATTATTATCTTCTTAAATGGAGTATATACTATTGGAATTATTTGTCTGTCTCAGTCAATTCTGCAAATCATGGTCATGTTCTTTTCAGGATAATGAGCGCCCTGCATTTGTGGTCTGCCTGACTTTTGCCGAGAATGGAGATGTTGTCACTGGAGACACAGAAGGGAATATTTTTGTCTGGTCTAAAGGTATGATGGATTATATACTGGTACAACTCCATTAAATCAAAGCTTTCCTTTTATGTATATTTCTTTCAGACCCGTAGCCAGTAATTTTAAGAGGGGGTTCTATTTTTGAAGAAGCACACCATTTACCATGAAATCTTCATGTACCTAGATAAAATTTTACCCAGAAGGGACCTTTTTCCAGCAAAAACAGGGGTTCTTTCAAACCCCCCCCCCAGACCCTCCCTTGCTGCGGGGCTGCTTTTATTACAAAACTAACTGACTTTTTAATTAAGTGTTTATTCCAAGGGTATTGACAAAATGTTTTATGTGACTTATTTTGTGAACATCCTCTATTCCAGATGACAGAAAAGTTATCAAGGCCATTCACGATGCCCATGAGGGACCAGTGTTTGGTCTGGCGCGCCTCCCAGATGGTTCTTTTGTCTCTGGAGGTGGGAAAGATGGCAAGATATGGCAGTGGGACGCAGAGTACAACAAGCAAGACTTGGAAACACAGGTATAAATTATGCTGGGTGGACGTAAGGGTTGTGTAGCGCCTCCTAACCAAGCTGAGATTTGTTTTAGGTCTAAGGAATTTTTCAGTCCATCAAGGTCCAGTCATCAAAACTGTAGTTGACCACAGTTAATAGAAAATTTGACATATTTCAACTTTTCAACCCAGACCCAGCTCTCAAGACAGACAGTTTAAACAAATTTAAACAAAGTTATACAGGTTTTAATCTTTCAGTCTGGAAAACATGGTCAAATGTGAGAGAGGCAATTATTGTAAAATGTTTACTAATTGTAAAATCAAATAATTTTTAAAGAAATTTTAGAAAATCATGACCATCACTTAAGAAAGAAATGTGTTCAAAATGTTCATATTTTTCTTTCTTTTATGTGTAGGTTCCAGAAGATTTTGGACCAGTCAGGATATTGGAGCCAGGGCCCGAAGGTTCCATTTTCATTGGTACCACAGAGAACGCCATTGTCCAAGGTGTCCTGGGGCAGTTGGCCAAGTTTGACCCTCTCACACAGGTAAGGATGCACTCATTTGGTGAAATTTTTAAAGGGCAGTTCCACAGGCAGTCCCCCACCCCTTTGTCTCTGTTAAATATTCACATAATTTCATATGTCATGGAATATGACTTAGGCCCCATTCACAACCAGTTGATCTATGGACTAACAGATAGATCTGCAGTTCAAATATGGCTGTCCCACTTGAAAGCTCGCAGCATAATCCCCTAAAAGACACTGAAAAGCTTCCCTGCATGGATTTTGCAGCAAGTTTTTAAGTGGGTCAGCCATATTTGATCCACGGATCTGTTAGTCTTGGGATTAACTTTGGTTGTGAATGCAGCCTTAGTCTGATTAAAATGGTGGAATAAGAAATGTCAAAATTATAACAAATCAAAACTAAGTAGTAATTAATGTTAAAATAAAAGGTAATTTTGTGTACAATTGGTGTTTATCTATATTTATGATTTGTGAAGTGAGTACTAGTAAATGGTTTTGTTATGCAATACTTTCCCATAGACAGGTGGTAATGATTTAGTGAAGGGCATTAACATGGTACATTTTATTATATTTACTGGCTGATTTAGGAATACAATGTCATCACGTCTTATTTTGTTGAATATATTTTGTAATTATGGGAAGGGTGATACGTATGAGTATATATGCACATGTATATTGAACAAGTTGAAGCATTTGGTGTAAACAGTGCCTTTAAAGGTTTTACGTTATTTAATGTTTTGTTTTAAAGGAAATTGTGGTTAAGCATCTCAATTTAGTGACACAGGTAATCAGTGTGTTTATTTATTTTTTTCAAATTTTTTTACAGTTTTACATTTTCATTTATTCTAGTAGCTTATATTTGGTATTTTGTATTTGTTATTTTGGATCCAAAGGATTCATCCAGTGATGTGGTAGTCATGGTCACACAGGTGAAATGTGTTACTTTAATTCTTTCTTCTGTAGATCTAGAAATATAGCCATAAGTTTATGCTGCTTGCCAATGGTTTAAACATGCATATATCCCCTAAGAAATAGAAATTTAAGAAAAACAACAGTTTACGAAATCAAGACGTTAAAACAGACAATTTGAGCATTTAGTTCAGTTTTTAGTGCCTGACCAACTAAAACATAAAAAAATCTCAACTACCAAGTGGCATCTTTATTTTCAGTTTAAGTATGATCAGCATTGAACACATTTTGTGTCCAGTCCAGGGAAAAGACAATATTTTAAAACATAAAAATTGCGATGTACATATTGTGAGCAGCAATATATATGATAGACACAAACAATTATATCCATGACCTCTTGAGCTGATGCATGTCATTCTTCTTGGTTATTCTCTACTTTATAAATGTTTTCAAAGGAGATATGCAAGATAGCATAAAAGGCAACTTGCATTATTACTTTTAAGGAGGGGAATAGCTCTTTCTTGTAAACCTATCTGGTCTCGTAATTATGTATTGCATGCCTTGTATTTTATACAGATTTTTTTTTATTTGTCTATATAAAGTATTTAAATTTGTCAACTAGACTGTATGAGGTAAAAATGTGCTACCAGGTACATGTATTTGCATGAAGGTGAAGGGCATTGTATATGGCCAAATTATGCATAATAGCTTATACATTTTGCCTATAAGTATTTTATGATTTCTAGGAATTGTAATATTTTTGGTCATATTGTTTCAGTTATATGGAGATATCATGTGAAGGGTGCAAAATAGCTTAAATCCTCAAATATGTTTATGTACCTTGAATCAAAGAAACTTTATTTTTAATTAAGAAAAATTAATACAGCAAATAGTGTTTGTGCCTGTCGGTGTGAGCACACACACACACACACACACACACACTAAAATAAATGCATGAATCCGCTTTCTCTCCGTACAGCTTGATTGGAATATTTCAGGGACATTTTAGACCAGTTTTGATGTATATTTTTCTTATTTTTTCAGATTGATAATTCATTATGTCAAAATTATATTTAGGTTTATAAAGCCAATGTATTGGAAAATTCCAGATATAAAAATCAATATTATGACTGTGCTTTTGATGATGATTCTTTTATTTTGAATGAAGCTGCTCGTGTTGATAAAGATATCTAGTTTTATTCATGATCATTTATATACATTTAAAGGCAACCTTTAAAAAGTAAAATATTGAGACTCAGCAAGAATTAGAACCCAACTACACATATTTGAACCAGTTTTTACTTTTTCTCAGATAATATACAAGAATCACCTGAATCTCTTTGGCCAGTATTGGATCAGTAATGAATTTGTATTAGAATACCAAATTATTTAACATTTTGACTTTTCTTTTCCACTTTGTCCTGCAGGGCCACTCTGATGAGCTGTGGGGCATAGCTGTCCATCCTCACAACGGGCAAATCCTGACATGCGCCTACGACAAGCACGTGTACATGTGGGATCCACAGACTCATGCACTACTCTGGAGCAAACAACTACAGGTATATTGATACAGCAGATATATTATCCTAATATATATATTTTTTTTTTTTTTTTTTTTTTTTTTTTGTATTTTAAAAGGGAAATTTAAAATTAATTTAATTGGTATGTTTTATTTGTTTTTTATTTACTGATGTCATATTAATCACCTTGGATCAAAATATTAGTGAAACAGCTATTAAATTTTTTAATTTAGTTGGCATTATTTTTTTTCTGTAAATTTATGAGCAATTACTGTACATATTGTAACTGCTATTTCCAGGAGGAGGCTCACAGTGCCTGTATCCATCCTGATGGCGAGGTGGCGGTCATCGGGACCAGGGATGCCAAATGGCTGGTCCTGGACCTGCTGCAGAATGGACAGGTCATCTTTGAAGACACGGACGGCAAGGAGCAGATAGAATGTGTGGAGTTCTCTCCTGGTAAGTTACAGTGGGGCAGTGTTTGCATTTGGGCTGAAAATAGTCTAAAGGAAATCAACAGACTGATTATAATTAAAACTCAATTATTGAAGCCAAGTTATGCTTTTGTATCCATCCAACTCAGTGATGCCCAGACAAATTATTGTTGTTGTTGTTTTTAATATATTGCATTTTTATTATTTATTTATTTATTTATTTATTTGAAGCTAAACTATATAATCAAAAGTTGACTACGGGTATACTGGTATGTTTTCTCTTGCGATGATATAAAAATCTCCTTTCTTATAACAAGTTATCTCTCTTAGTGCTTTTAATCTAAGTTGGATGAACTAACAGCATAATGTGTATGCAGATTAAAAAGGCCCATTTTCTACACATATCTGGCCCTAGTTTTGTTGTGGCTCTACATGTAATTGTTTATCTTTTCCAGATGGTTCCCGCCTTGCTGTAGGCTCCAGAGACAACTCGGTGTACCTGTACAATGTTACTGACAGTGGACACCAGTTTGATAGAATTGGAAGATGCACGGTAGGTTGTCTTGTAGATGTACTTGACTATTTGTGATGAATAATGGATACAAATTGAAATACCCTTGATCCTATGTGGTACCAAGAATACATTGAGAAAATTTATTTATCCTATGACTTAATGAAAATGATAAAAGTAATCAAAATATGTCGATGTTATGTCCTGATTTTGAAAATAAAGCTGAAAAATAATAAAGATCCCATTCCTGCTTTAATGATCAGGAGTAATTCTTTTCTATTAGCTTAAGTACATTTCTTTGACAAAGAATCATTCCAACCTTAAAGCTAGGCCAGTCAAAATAGAACTTAAAGTGGCAAAATATGGTGGCCAAGGTTTCTCAGCTGAGGAAGAGAATATGTCAGATGCATTTGAAATATCTGTAGTACTTAAACAGAAAAAATGGAAATGCATGGCTTCCCTAGTGACTAAGTGAACAAAATATGAAGAAAAATAAACTAATATATATAAATATATATATATTCTCAGGGTCACAGTAGCTATATCACTCACTTGGACTGGTCAATGGATGGACAGTACATACAGACCAACTCTGGAGATTATGAACTTCTATACTGTAAGTACTGGAATAAAAATGTCCACATATTCCTTAAAAAGACCCCACTCTCCCTTTGAAATTGTACAAAATGTGACTAAGTGAATGATTGAATAATTAAACAGATGATTTGATGAATGAATAGATAAATGAATGAGACATAATGTTCTTAAATTTTGAAGACCGTCGAATTCTTAATGATGACATTTGGCTGTTTAAGGTAAAAACATCTGGTCAGATTAAAAACTAAGTTATAAAATTGCATAAAACATTGTAACCCAAGTGCGAGGCATTTTTAAGCAATGAATTTAGACTAGAAGCATTTTCCCTCAAAGAAAATTCAATTTGGCACAAAAATCTCAAATAGAATTCCTGTAGCCAGTTTTTGTACTACCTTCTAGGGGATGCCTCCACAGGGGACCAGATACCCTCAGCACAGCACATGAGAGATGTGGAGTGGGCCACCCANCGTAAAGACAGTCGAATTCTTAATGATGACATCTGGCTATCAAAGGTATAAACATCTGGTCAGATTAAGAACCAAGTTATGAAATTGCATAAAACATTGTAACCCAAGTGTGAGGCATTTTTAGCAATGATTTTAGACTAGAAGCATTTTTCCTTAAAGAAGTTCAATTTGGCACAAAAAAACTTACGAATCCCTATAACCAGTTTTTGTACTACCTTCCAGGGGATGCCTCTACAGGGGACCAGATACCCTCAGCACAGCACATGAGAGATGTGGAGTGGGCCACCCAGTACTGTACACTGTCCTTTAACACTCTGGGTAAGCTTAATTACACACAGTACTGTACACTGTCCTTTAACACTCTGGGTAAGCTTAATTACACACAGTACATGTACTGTACACTGTCCTTTAACACTCTGGGTAAGCTTAATTACACACAGTACACTGTCCTTTAACACTCTGGGTAAGCTTAATTACACACAGTACTGTACACTGTCCTTTAACACTCTGAGTAAGTTTCACACAGTACTGCACACTGTCCTTTAACACTCTGGGTAAGCTTAATTACACACAGTACATGTACTGTACACTGCCCTTTAACACTCTGGGTAAGCTTAATTACACACAGTACACTGTCCTTTAACACTCTGGGTAAGCTTAATTACACACAGTACTGTACACTGTCCTTTAACACTCTGGGTAAGTTTCACACAGTACTGCACACTGTCCTTTAACACTCTGGGTAAGCTTAATTACACACAGTACACTGTCCTTTAACACTCTGGGTAAGCTTAATTACACACAGTACTGTACACTGCCCTTCAACACTCTGGGTAAGCTTAATTACACACAGTACTGTACACTGTCCTTCAACACTCTGGGTAAGCTTAATTAGACACACTTTTTACTGTTCTTCATTGGCAAGATGTTCTTTTATGTTCTTACAATGCTTGAAGACACTACTGTTGTATGATCTAAGAAGGATTTGTTTTAGTTTAATGTCTACAATAAGGTGTTCAAAACTGTTTTGAAAAACTGGTTCAAATTCAGAGATATTGAATCTTTTAAAAAGTTTTAGGTACAAAATTCCAGAATACTAATTAATTCATGCATTTATTAGGATTGTGGCCAGAGGATGCAGATGGCACAGATGTCAATGGCTGCTCAAGGGCCACCAGGCGGGCCATCTGTGCCAGCGGGGATGATGACGGGAAGGTCAACTTGTTCAAGTATCCAGCTAACCAGAAGAAGGTATAGTTAACCAACTTGTTCACAGAACTCAATCCAGAATACATCATTATACAAATGATTATGAAAATGAATTATCTTGATAACATCTCAATGGCAAATGTGGCAAGTTGCAGTTAGTTTTTGCAGATGGCAAATTTACTGGTGTGTAAATGTTTGTAAATTCTGTGTAAATTTTTATGAAATATTTTTGTATAAAAATTTTTATCATATATTTTCATGAAATCATTATAGAGGGGTACAATTAAGTTGTTGTTTGTTTTCTAGTCTGGAAGCCACGTGTACGGCGGGCACAGCAGCCACGTCACGGCCACACGCTTCCTCACAGATGATAGTGGACTCTTCTCTACTGGAGGCAGGGATATGGCTGTCCTGCAGTGGCGAGTGCAGTAGACACGATACAGCATTGTCTTTGTAGCTGATTAAGCATAAAACCAAAAGATGCTGGATTTTGGTGGAAGAAAGCAAGTGGTGGATAGAAAAAGACATTTTTTTCTCAATCCTTGTATAATTTCTGCACCGTGGATCCTCTAATGCATAATGTATGTACTTGCCATAATTAATTTGATACAGAGTAGCAGCATTGGACGTTATAGCTAGTGGAAACCTAGAGTCAAGAGCTGATTTCATCTTTTAAGGTGTGAAACCACTATCTCTAACAAACATCTATCTAGTATTATTGCTTGTGCAATTTATAATTTGGATTTCATTCACTAGATGTGTGCCGTTTTGTTGTTGCCTCTTCATGTATCCATATTCGGAATTTGTTTCCTTTATGAGTATTTATGGTAAAAATGGATCTCTTCATTATTTGTATGATTTTTCTTTTATTTCATTTATAAATCCTTGAAATTTTATCGCACAATGATAGGGGTCTCTACTCGGGTCCCTCTTGTAAATGTTAAGCTTATAAAATTATTTTTCTAACACAGAGTATTATTTTTATCAGACTAGTGTAAATTTGGTCATTGTCATGTTATGCACTCTCAACTATATGTGTATAGCTTTATTCTTCATGTTATGTTTCACTTTCTGACATGTAAATATCACCTACATGTGTAAGTATAGTCAGTTTTAATGTTTAACAGTCTAAATACTGAACGGGTACAAAGAAATTAATTCTGCATGCTTTCAAAGACTTGAATATCTAAATGTTTATAAGGCTGCAGACAACAGGTGCCCTACCCTCCTAAAAGTCTCAGTTTTCTCTCTGGCTTCCATTTTGTTCTATGACATCATCTTCTTGAATACTGAGCCAACCAACCAAGAAAAACACCATGACTTTATTCTGATAATTTTGATATTTTATATGATATTATTTTATTGGAAATGGGTGTGTTAGCTGAATTAGGACATGGCTTAGTTAGGCTAAGTTCATGGCCTCCCTATGTCTTCATATGTTGTACCTTCTATGATGTCATCCAATCCTTTTATATGTATTATAGAAATATGCATCATGTAGTGTGCTAATGTTATTGTCTGGTTATTTTTGTTTCATTTAGAATTTCTAAGACAAAGTTGATGCACAACTTAATATTTTATGCCATTTATGCACATACATGTACCATTATGTTGGTGAAGGTCATCGTTAGAAATGTAACCATCTTGGTTTTGACAGCCATATTGGAAACTTTGTATTTTCCAATTTTAGAATTGCTCAGAATTATATTTTGTGATTGTGATTCTACTGAATTTGCATATTTTTTTTAAAAGTTAATTACACCAATGCAGTGTAGCTCTGTGATTTCAAGAAACCATTTGATATTTTACTGTATTGGGAGAAAAGTAAAGCGGCTGAGTGCAACCCTTTTTAACTGCATAATACTCAGAAGCAGTGTGAGTGTGGTAGAGAAGGGCGAGTACAAATGGATTTTTTTTCTGTTTAGTTTGTTTGTTTCTCATGTATTTTTTTGCTTTTATAGTTCGCTTTTGTATAATACACTCGACATCAGCATCGTTTTGCGCGTTGTAGTCTACCTTCATCTCCTACCGTGAGTGTTATCATTATCCGTCCTTTTTAAGAACATTACTGAAAACATTCTCCGTCCAGATTTAAATCTTTATTGATATTAATTGTTCCAATGCCAAACTTTTTAAGATATTGGTTAATATTGTAATAGTTTGGAAACATTTTTGAACGAAATCAAACACAGGCTTTATTTTACAATTAATTATTATCGTATGAGGAATATAGGTGACATTCAGCATTTATTTCTTGCATTCCAATTTATGAATATATAGTTATCATGCTGAATTAACTAAAGCAGTTTCATCTTCCATTATATATTTATATATGTATATATAATAAAATTTATCTTTGACCTGTTATACGCGTTGTTGTGTTTATTTCCTAGTAAGTTTCGGCGTAAATAAGTATCAAGATAATGCTTATAAGGGTCCACCTCCAGGGCTAGGTGTAATAGGAATGGTAGTCCGCTAAGATCCATAGTTCGTTCCCCACTACTTTGTACAGGTGACATGTATACTTTGTACCAAACCAAATACTCCGACTAACCTTAACCTGTACTAATCATATGGGACCATGGACTTCTATTGCTAGGACTACCATTCCTGTCACACCGGTGTAACGTGATGTAGTGAGACCCCCATAACGGAGAGTCCGCTTCCCATTCATTTGTACAGGTGATTCTCCCCTTAGATTTTATCCCACTTAGGTCAGGCTAACCCTAACCATTATAACCATGTGGAGGGCGGACTTTTTCCGTTACACAGACCCTCAGTTTGAACTTTCATTGCACCGGCAGAAGGGCCCTCTTGCTCATGTAGTGTATTTCTCGTGTTTCGTTCCTTTCAAACGAAACGGGCATACACTGTAATTCTTAGAGAAGTGCTGTTTTAATTATGTCATGATAATGTAATTTGTATCTATCTGTTATCAATATTTATAGTGATTTAAATGACGATAACTCCTCCACGTCTTCCCGTTGGTTTAAGTGTGCAGTTTAACCCAAGTATCATTTTTTATCAATTTTATCAATAATAGGCCTAGCTATGTTTATTTTATGATGACATAAAAAGCAGTGTATAGTTTGAAATTGTATTGATGACAATTCATGGTTCGGAGAAAATCTGTATGTGCATTTAAAGAAATTTGATGCGTATTTATTTAGCAAAAAGAAAATTTGATTTAGAAAACACAATTTAAATTTTGTTGTCGAGTTTTGTTACTGCGAAACAGTGAACGACTTTGAAGTGTGTGTGAAATAATATCCGTGCCCGCCAACACACACACACACACACACACATACACTTCTGTCTTTAGCATGGGAATCGAAAAGGCCAAGTGTCCCAGTCCACTTCTTTTGGCTAAATGATACTTGATATATTAAGATAATAAGTCGTTCAATGTACAACTACACTCATGTTAATGCCCCCCTCGCCAGCGTTATCTTTCACCCCATTCTCATAGATTAGATCGACCTACATTGGATCGACCTAACTCCCTGGGGGTTCACGCTAAATAGCTGTCAGACGGGCGGACACGAAACTTAATTACCCCTTAAAGCTTGTAGTAGGCGGGGACGGACACTTAAGGGGGATTATCTGACAGTAATCTAGTGAGACTCCCCGCGGTGATAGATCGATCTAAAAGTTGTGAGAACAGAGCCTTTTTCTGGATTGTTACCACTTATCCCGCCTGTACTCCATTTAGAACGTATCAGAAATATTTGTCAGAATTCGCCGTTATCTTGATGCTAAAGATGCGTCTCCAGTTAACTCTCTAACTCCAGGTGCGTGATTGAAGTCGAGGGCATATTCTAGGTCTTATATCGGGTCGGTTTTGGAGTACAAACGGTGTATACCAATACTACAGAGATAACCCTCCTAACCCCGTGTCTGTCACCAAGCCGTCCTTATTAACGCCCCTAAGTTGATCTACATTAACGCATATATACTAGTATATATACTATATGTAATATACTCTGTGCCTTACTGACAGATGCGAAAACACTGCCCGATGAGCGGATCTTGAGGTCTAAATATATATTTATTTATTTGAAAAAGAAAAATGGAAAAGGGGAGCGTAAATGGAGAGGTCGAAGACATAGAAAAGGTTATTCCTAGTAGTAATTTTGGGAAGAATTATGCAGGCGGGAATACGTGCAATAAAAACGAGGTAATTTTGGGCGTTCTGGGCGCCGTCTTCATCTTTCTGACCATACTGATGATTGTGCTCTTGGGTGTTCGAGCGTCCCAGAGCCCGCCCCCGGAGCAGTGCGTTACCAAAGGATGCCTAAGGGAGGCGTCCAACATGATACGGCTGATGAACGCGAGCGTGGACCCATGCACCGACTTCCACACCTTCGCCTGCGGTAACTACCCGAAGTTCATGCAAATCGGGTCCAGTTCTACCGAAAGAACTGTCATTCAGGACGCGTATTTATTCAACCAGAGGAAAATCATGCGCATTTTGTTCAGTCCCATACAGCGGAATGTTGACTGGTCCTACGAGAGAAAAGTTAAGGATTTTTACAAGTCTTGCACCTCTCAGTACAACACGGAGAGACTCAAAGGGATGCCGCTTATTAACATGATCAACAACAACGACAACGGCAGGCAGCTGGGACCCTGGTACGTCTTCGATAACTCTATGCAAAACTGGAACTTTCAGTCGGCACTGGAGAAAATTCACGTGGACTTTTGGGCGAATGCGTTGTTTTCGATCAAAGTGGAGTCGGACATAATGGACACGTCAAGGACTAAAAAGGGAGTTATCGAGGTACAGTATGAGTTCAAGAATAAAATAGATTTATATAAAAAAAAAATTCGAAATTTGGTCTTCGTCTTAAGACTGAAAATCTTAGCCGTCTTACATCAATGATAAATTAGCACGGTAGTAAACCAATAAAATTAGGCTATTGGAGCCGTATTACAAAAACTGAGAAATGGCTCACGTTTGAAAACTTGTTGTGCATGAAGGATACTATCACATCATTCTTCTGGGTTGGAATTTGATAAAATTTTCAGTGTTAAAGAAAAGTAAGAACAGTTTTGACTAATTTTTTTTTAATTTGTGCCCATAATTGCTCTTTCGAAGGCAAAACTGAGGAGTTGGTGTCTTTTTTTTTAAGTTTTTCTCCTCAGAGTTCACTGCAAACTTCACATTTACCGTTCGTATTAAGACGAAACCAGCTGTATATTAACGCCCTCTAATTTTCCTGGTTGAAATATTTGCCATCTCCCGCCATTTATTGTCTTTGCGTGACCTCGAATATCAATTTTTAACCCTACTTTATTTATGTTTACATGTTTTAAGTTTGGAAAAATGAAGTCATGAAGGTGATCAACGAAAAAAAAAAAAGATAACTTTGAAAACAAAGTCTGAAAAGAAATGTCTTATCTTTTTTGACTGATTTGTATGAATATGAAGTCCTTGTTTGAGCATAAATGACGCCCTCTTATGACCACACAGGTTATCAATCACATCTTTCAGCTATTTTTTTTCTCACTATTTAATGAAGATTGATAGAAACTGGATTATGATTCCACGTAGTATATTTTGAGCCCGTATTACTCATAATTCGATTATTCTATGTGAACTCTTTTCATCTCAGCAGCAATTTTTACGGTAAACGTCGTCTGCTTTTTGTTGACAAGAAGCCCGTGTCACGTGACATGCATTGTCCTGATACTGGGTACATCAGGACCTGGTGGTCTCGATAAAATAAGTAAGAAATTAACTACAACCGCAGCCGTAATAGACGATTCTTTTAAATTTCAGAAACTAGACCACTCCAAACTTTCTATGAAACAAAGATGTTTTTTACAGCCATGAATAAATTAACAGCGTTTTGAGGGGAGGAAATTTTCTTCTTCAGATTGATCAGAATGGAATGGGTTTAATGAATAACGGGAGACCTGGGATATACTTTTGGACAGGTACATGGGCCCAGATGGTAAGTATAACGCTTTCGATTGCGCGTGTTCTAAATTTAAAAAAAAAAAAAAAAAAAAAAAAAAAAAAAAAAAAACAGGAACAGAAACATAAAATCACCCTCAAATAAAGTCCACCTATATGAAAGGCTCTTGGCTACACCGTCCCGTTCATTTTTTGTAAAGCTGATTCAGATTTCTGCAAGAAACCGTCATCGTCGGATCTGTTTTGTGTTCGTCTGGTACGCCGAACTCGTCCGCCATTTTCCTTAGTACAGATAATAGTCATTCATTACCTCGAAAACCGCTAGTATGGTGCCCTTTAAACAGCTACATTTTTTTCTGTGTCACTTTGGGGACTCAATTTAATAGTGTGAGAGTGAACACAAGTTAGAAGGCCCCTCCAATCATATTCGTTTTGGAGAAAGAAGATTATAAGTCGGATTTCGGATGTTGAATTGAATAACCTTTATAAAGACCCTGTAGTAAGTCCCGTCTTGTGTCCGACATAGGCCCAATGCCTCATTCTGGCTCCCTATTTATTTACAGTATTTTTATCAAACATACCCTGCTCTTTTGATAGCATATTAAAGAATATAAAGTTTTGGTCAACTTCATCGCTGACTATATAGGTCCAGGCTGCATACAGAGACTACATGCGACAGACGGCCAGATTACTGGTACGAGACAATGGAATGGACCCCAATGACGCCAATGTGAACAGGAGTATCGAACAGTTCGTTGCCGATGTCTACCAGTTTGAGATGCAGTTGGCAAACGTGAGACTTTTCTATTATTATTTATTCTTCTATATAGGTATTATTGCTGATATGATGGTGGCGATTGTACATTATTTAGTATCTCGTTGATTCTGTCTTTTCTAGTACTAGTAGAATGTCAAAGCAATTAGTTCTTACTGCTGATTTCAAAGAATGAACCAAATTCGTCGAACTCTTATCAACTATATAATAATATCAACATGCAAATTATTCTCAAGGAAGGTGTTTGAAGAAACGCCCAACAGCAGGGTTGATACTGTAACGGAATGAAGCCATTGTCTTGGCGATATAAAATAATATGGCCTGACTACTACTGGGTTTATAACATCTACTTTTCGAAAATATTATCTTATTTTCATTCTAAATAGGTGTCCAGGAGAACGGGAGCTAACAAAAATCCATATCACATGGATAATAGAAAGACAATATCCAACCTGAATAAGATAGCGGGCCAGGTAAGCACTCGGCAATCGTCGTTTTTTTCCGTATACGACGGATTTGGCCGCTGAGTTCCCAATGAATGGGCGACTCTTTCAAATGCCATGTTGCAATGCCACTATAATTGTATGTTGTTTTGTGCGTTTTTAAAATTTTAAGTTATCTTGGATAAAATGGGTTTTGAACTAAGCCATGTCAAGATATCTTAGCAAATGAAAAGTTTATGGTTGAAAACAAACCACTGGTTAAACTGTCATTTTCAAATACACGATTTTAAAAAATGGCCGGAATAACATTTCAAAATAAGAAATTGTTCATTGTTCATTTATTCAGTGAAATGCGATTACTGCCATAATGTCATAGTAACAGTCGTCCCATCGTTTTAATGTTTAAAGTGTCAAAGGGGACACAGTGATTGGCATGTGCATACAGCATCCAGTTTTATGTCAGCCGCAATTTTTCTATAACCAAATATTTGGTAACTTTCGATACTCTATTTGAAATATTAATCTAATTCTTATTATTTTTATTGTTATTATTATTACTTCAGATCGACTGGTTGAGATTATTTCAGTACATGTTTGGTACGACAGTTACTAGTGATACCAACGTTGTCCTTCTGGAGTTGAATTATTTACGCCGAATGAGCACTATGCTAGCCAACATGGACCCTAATTCTAGAGACAGGTTTGTTTTACCAAGTCACGTATACGTTTTCTATGACATAAGCCTGGAAAAAGTCTGAAGAAAGTTTAAAAAAAAGGAACGTTTTTTCGCTCTGTTTAATAATTACATTAATCATCTGGTGGCGAAAAGAAGATAATATTTCCAAAGCAGAATGTTGAAACTGGCATGACTAGGTTTAACGTGTTAATGCAATGCAACAGAAATTTAAGACTAAAAACAATATGTGATTGTTTAAGGCAAGGATTTCTTGGGTTAAAGTCCTCGCCAGGTTGTGGCTTTTGATTGCGACCATATCACCCATTATATGCAGCATATTCGATCCCCTAAATGCCCCATCCTACACAGAGGACATACACACAGACATAAGATGTTGGACCCTAGCCTTCACCACGTAGATTAGATCTTTGTGGTGAAAAAACACTCATTTAGTAACCTCCTCTAGAGCAACAGAGAGAATTTTACATAATATTAAATTTTATTATAGTGCACAATCCTGAGGGGATTACAAAAAATAGTGAGAGATAATAGTACCCTGGTGTGAAACCTATATACTCTACTGTGTAGCATTTCATATTGAAACACGCAAAAAAAAAAAAAAGAAAAGAAAAAAAGGAAAAAGACGTGTTATTTACCGGTACATTTGATGGTTATCTTTTCCTTTAGGGTGTTGAACAACTACCTTCACTGGCAACTTATGCGGACATACACCGAGGATCTATCATCTGAGTATATTCACGCCACTAGGACATTTAGAAAGGCCAGATCGGGGCAGAGGACCAATTACCCCATATCTATGCTCTGTTTTGGCTACATGACAGAAAAAATGGGGGACGCTCTTGGTGCCCTGTTTGTTCAGGATCATTTCACGGACAACAAGAAGGATAGGGTAACTTGGCACTTTTTAAGTGTTCACTCCATTCGGTACAGTTCGGGCGATTCAGTAACTCGATTCTGAATACGACGTCAACCGAAGTTGGCCGAGCGTTCACTACTTTGTATACGGATCAGTTGTTTAATTGTTCATATATCCTTCTCAAAAAAAATAATAACTGGTCAATTGTAGGCTTATTTAAAGTGATCAATCAATTCGACCCTCACCAAATTTGGCTTCAATTCCATTCAGAAACAGACCCACGAACAAATATATAATATAATTCAAATTGTCTTCTTTTCAGGTGGAAGCCATCGTCTCCAACTTGAAGCAGACGATAGTGAGTCGACTACAAGAGGTGACATGGATGGACGAACCCACCAAGAAATTTGCCAGAGAAAAGGTGGGCATATACTTGCATTTTATAGTTTATTGCAATTGTTTTAAACAATGTTATAGACGCTTATTGTTTTTATCATTATTATTTTCTTTAATGCTCGTACAAAGCACATTTAAAGATCACAATATTACTGTTAAACTACCTACTTTAAAGTCGAGTAAATTTTTTCATGGTTTATTATCCGTCCAGTATAATTTGAGTCCTTGTTGGGGTGGGGGGCGGGCGGGGGTGATATATACTTTAAGTAACGCTACAACACCTTTTCTTGAGGCTTTAAATTTGTTACAGATGTACTCTTGTGTTTGTCTTTAGATGGCTGCCATTGTAGATAAAATAGCCTACGACCCGAGCGCGGTGGACCACTTTTTCATGGACCGTAAGTACGACGCGGTAAGTACATGTGACATATATTTTCGATAATTTGATTGAAAAGACACCAATGATATCCGCGCGGCAGTCATAAGTGTATCTTTAGTTTCATATCTAACTTGAAATGAACCTATATGTAAGCAAAATGCTTTTGTCGCTTCCTTTAAAGGATGTTTTAGAGGTAAGGGATTAAAATGTAGTGGATGATGGTTTCCAACAAATTTTGAAGGGTGTATTGATGTGTTCTCATTTTGAAGCTTGTGTGCCTCCAGATTTGCAAGCGTATATTCTTGAACAGAGGAATGACTCTGTGTAGGTTGTCGCCTGCCGTGTCTAGAGGGACTGCATATGTGCTGCCTATTTGATGTTAAACTTTTTAATGCGACAGGGACACAATAAAATGTGACAGATTAAAGCTTATACAACATTGGTCAAAAAGGTTGTCCCACCACATGTACATGGAATTGGGAGTGGGACAACCTTTTTGACCAATGTTGTATAACTTGTATTTGACGCTTAAGTCCAAAATGCTTATTAACTCTAGAAACACTCAGATTTTAACATTCCCCAAAAGTTCCAGTATTTCTGAATGGTTTTTATACAAATCTGTGTCGTCATTGTCTTGTCACGTTGATTTCATACTTCCCGGTTTTTCTTCTTTCCAGCTGAAAGTGAACGTGTCCGACTTCATCGGCAACATTCTGAGCGTGAACGCCTTCGAGAAAGCTACCTGGACCAAGTACCTGACCCAAGGCCGACAAAAGACGGAGAGCGACGACATTACCCTATACCAGGCTGTAGTGAGGTTTTTCAACCCGTGGAATGAGATCATTGTCCCCGCGGGAATGTTCCAGTTCCCTGTGTATACGTACCCAATGCCTATGCACAGCAAATATGGCGGCTTGGGGTCTCTTATCGCACAAAACCTGCTACATGCCGTTGACGAGTATGGTAATAGGCCTTCTGTAGTTACTGCCATGTTGACTTCTTTGTGAAGTGAGACCGCTGAATGACCTTAGATATGAATATGTTTTTTTTACTAAAAAGAAGCAAAAAAAAAAAAAAAACAGGATTTGTGGATTTTTTTCGAGATTTCATTTATAGGTATAATGAGAAAATATTTTTTTCGTTTAATTTTTTTAGAATGATCCAGTAATTTACCAGTTTCCATCTCTATTACTATACGAGAGGTACTAAGAATTTGAAACTTAAAACTCGAAAGTAGGTTGAAAGATCGTAATTTTTTTCTCAAAATACGCTGGCGTTTTAAATAAAATCGTTCCAATTTTCAGGGACATCAATTTACCACAACTGCTGGGTCTGACGCTCACTGCATGCTTTTAAGTTGCTATTGTACTCCTCGACGCCTTTGTTTTGCTTGTGCTTTTACTGAAGTCATCGGCTACACATTTTTTCACTTAAGTCAATCATCAAAACTATTGAACCACATTATTTTCAGGCCTATCCACCGGGAAAGACGGCAGCCTACAGGAGTGGTGGAGCAATGCGACTTATGGGAACTACTTGCAGAAAAAACAGTGTATTATCGACTACTACACGGGGAAAACTGTCAGCTTTATTTTGCCAGGCGACAACAGCGTGGTGAGGAAACTAACTAAAGAACTGATTTTAAATAGACCGTTATTTTTACTCCATATTCAAAAGCAATTCAATGGACCGTTCTGCTGAATGTAAAGACTTTACACTATTTAGCTTTCTCATCTTCATCGGCGCTTTATATTTAACCTATTTACGTTTTGAATTACTTGTATTTATCAGAAATACTTATATTTTCATAAAATCTTTTAAAAATACTTCAGAAGTCAGTTCCCGTGAACGGAGAAACCTTGGCTGTACGGAGCATGGCGTCTAGTGGCGGCGTGAGAACGGCCTACTACGTAAGTGTTAGCAGGCCCGTAGCCAGCAATTTCAAAGGGGGGGGGGTCTTTTTCTGAAAAAGTGGACCTTTTACCATATAATATCCCCATGTACCTAGGTCAAATTTTACCCAGAGTGGACCTTTTTCCAGCAAAAAGGGGGGTTCTTTTGAACCCCCCGACCCCCACCCCCCCGGCTACGGGCCTGGTGTTAGCCAGTGTTCCAGTCAGAAAGTTTTCATTTTTGATAGACCCACATATCTGATCCTCATAAATGAAAACTTTCTGACTATCAAAACTGAGATCCAATGGAACTATTTTCACAGCAATTTATTAGCTTACCTGAGACTCATCTATGTTTAAGAAATGATGTAATGATGGACATTTTGTAATATGGACTATCTATTTTTCCATTTTCCATTGATATACATTATTTATTCGTTGGTTAAATAAGTGATTTATTATTTTGTTGTTTAATGTATATTTGTATTGTGTTTAGGCGTACAAGAATTGGGTTGGAGATAACTCCGCAGAGAAGCAAGTGCCTGGTCTCGGCAGAAGCAATGACCAAGCCTTTTTTATCGCCTTTGCTCAGGTAGATGCAATATAAGACTGCATTCCCACAGACTTTAGATCGATTTATCCCCGTGGGGAGTCTCACTAGATTAGTGTCAGCTTAGCCGACTTAAATGTCTGTCCCGCCTACTAAAACCTGTAAGGGGGTAATTAACTTCCATACATACCTAGGGTTGTTATATGACCGTGGCGATATGATGATCACTGAATCCTGTCCATTAGAGCCAAGCTTCAGAGAAGATCGAGGGCAACCTCGAGCCGCTAACCAAAAATGTCTCGCTTCACTCGACATTTCTGCACAGCGTCTCTCAGAAAACTCGGATTTAACCTCGATGTAGTCTAGGTTTTCACAAGGTCCTTCAAGACCTCTATAACATCGTTGTAATTGCAGCCCATACCATAAAACACCAAAAAATAATTAGATATGGACATATCAGATTATGTTAATGCCAAATTTCCACATGACAACGATTTATAGACTCCCGGGAATTATTTTCCCTTTACGCTCTTTGTCGCGCTGGCGGTCGATGAGGTATTTCAAAACAAGTTGACCTCAAATTAAGCACGATTTTGCACTTTCAAGTTCCGTGTCACGTTTTCATATCATGCATCTATTATTTCTACAAGTATTCTCTGCCCAAAATGCGTAAAAAAGAGAGTTATCTTACCATGTTGTTTAGAAAACTTCTTTTTCCTCCGACTACACGTCTTCTCTCCCGTTCACCTCCAGGTTAAAATGACCACTCAGCTTCGCTTCTAACACCACTACACGTCACTTCCGGGCACAATCAGTCTTCTCCGTCTCCCTTTATTACACGACTACATCTTGGTTAAATCAGTCGAGGTCTCTTAAATGCTGAAAGCCAAAGACAGAGTGATCATGTGACCTTCTTGGCATCAAGAGAATAGTGACGTTGCTTGCGTTATATAACTACCAGTAGACAAATCTAAAATCTCTCACGCTCTTAAAAAATTAGCATAAACTTTTCACGTTTAACAATTATTATATATCATTTTATTACATTAAGTCATATCATATGGGTATGGTTTGAAAAGGGGAATTAGTTTACATTTAAGCCACACGTGCATACTAATTATTTGTAAATCTATAACTCTTTAACGAGGGTTGTGTTATTTACCTTTTGTTTTTAAGCTGTTCATTCTTCCTCTTTATATCGGTAAAAATCAATTGAATTCCCCCTTTGAACTTGTAATTACATGTAGCACATGAATGCTCTGAAAACCAGCACATGTATATTACGAAACCGCCTCGTAGTAAAAAAAAGTCACCAAAACGTAGAATTAGTACTCCTGTGGACTTGAAATAAACATCCGTTTGATTTTGACTATATTCCGTAACCGCCTCGTCGTCAGAAATGACAATAGAAAACTAGAATTATTACTCCCGTGAATTTGTAATAAACATCCGTCGATTTTGAATATATTCCGAAACTGCCTCGTTGTCAGAAATATCACCAAAAAGTAAATTTCTTTCTCCTTTGCACTTGTGAAAATTTAGTTTGACTATATTCCGGTCCGACGCTCTTTTTTTATCAGAAATGTCACTAAAAAGTAGAGGTTTTGCCTCGGGGCCTTGTTTCCGCAACGGTCCCAGCTAGGTGTGGCTCAGCTGAGACGTGCATGGTCAGTGTCGACGGTTGATTAAATACTTCTCAAGCCAGTTGAACGTCCACGACAAGTATTTAGCAAAAAATGACTAAATTGGTCAGACATTATGTAAGAATTTGGCGGGAGGTGACCAGCGCACGAGGACGAGTTTATTCCGTAAAACATCTCTAGAGCGTGATATAGGGTCACTTTATTCGGTTTTAGGGGTGTTTTAGGATGAAATGACTGTATTTTTTCTCGGTATGTAGGGGCCTATGTCAAATAATACACTGTCACCCTCTCGCGATATATGCCATGAACACCATTCACTGACGCTCGAGGTGTTATGGCATATATCGCTCGGGTGACAGTGTATTATCCCACACGTAATTCAGCGTGAACCCCCAGGGAGTTAGCTCGATCCAGATGGATCGATCTAAATCAGTGGGAATGCAGTCTAAGACCTCATTCCCATAGACACTATTGGTGTACAAAGACCAATCCAATTCTGACTGAAATCAGCTTACTTGCATGACATACCTCTTCTTGTTTTCAACGTATTCACATAATCACCGGCTTTTCAGTATTCTACTTAACACTAGGAGAAGGCGTATTATACAGTGAAGCTGATTGCAATCAGCGACAGTCCCTGCGGAGTTGGATCGATCTGCGTAGACCGATGGTGCTTATGAGAATGGGGCCCAAGTTTGAAATGTTTTTATTTTGTTGATATTTGTTTCTTTGTGTATTGAAAGTGCATTATATATACCCAGGCTATTTTCACACAGACCGGAAACAGACTGTATCGGTACACTCAATAGACGCGCTGGACATGGCCGTTTTTTAATTTCATTTATAAATACAACAGGAAGTGCCTTTGTAGAGAACTTTTTGCAGGGAGTAATACTTGTAGCGTTTTTATTTTGTAATCGGCACTGACAGTATCGCCAAAGTATATCGATCGTTGTAAAAATTACCTTAAACGTAAGAAAATACGTAATATTTTAAAAGACCAATTTGTTTTTGGATTGCCCATTTTGCTTTTGGTGATATTCTGCCAATTTCTATTTTTCAGTTCCCGTTGTTTTTTATGTGTTTGGGTTAAGAATTGTGATAAACAGTACGTTCATGCAAGGTAGGCTTAGGATGTATTTTCAAGTGTTATTTTTTCACAATTTTAGCTGCAGTGTTTCAACAGAAGGCCTACCGCTGGATATGCCAATGCGATAAATGGGTTTTATCCGGAGGACTTTAGGTAATACCACAATCATTAAAACAGCTGTAATCGAACGGTTAACACACACCACAGGGATAAAACATTTGCGCAAGTGCATTTGTAAGTCTCTTAGTTTGTTAGGGAACAAAAATTCTAATATGTGACAGATTCCTTTTTTGTACTTCTGTTTCAAGTGAGTTCCCTCTTAAAGGTTCTATATACCCCTTCCTACCAGTAATTTAAGTTGAACTACTCAAGTGAACAAACTGACTTTAACACCTTTTTGTTAATGTATAACCTTTTGCCTGGAAAATCATTTCCTCAGAATCTGCGTGAAGCATGCGCAGAAATCTTTCCCTTGTTCTTGCCATTCGGCAAACATCGGGCCATGACGTATGTTAGATTTAAGGTTCAGAATCCACTAAGGTGCTCCAAACACTTAAGTTTAGTGTTTTCCTATCATCAATATCCGTGGTTTTGAGTTATTTGGGACATAAGTTGGGATGTATTTTATATGTATGTAACAATTTTGCCTTTGTAGAAGCAATATTGAGAACATTACCGAATCTTACCGATTCTTACCATTTCATTGCAGGGTAAACAATTATCTGGCGCATGTACCAGAGTTTACTCAGGCCTTCAACTGTCCAGCTAAATCCGCCATGAACCCAGAAAAGAAGTGTGTTTCGTTTTAATAATGAAACCCGTGTTATTTTTGTCCGCATAAAATACAAAATAATTCTGTAAAAAGATGATAAAATGAACATAGGTTGTTTTTACACGGTTTGTAACATGCAGCATACATATTTTGGTAGATTTTTAAGAGGGGTTGAAGAATTATAGAAATGCTAGCCGATAATGCAGGGTAATGTCGCACGTATATTGTTATAACCACATTAAGGTCAGGATAACTTATTGAAAATGGTAAGGCGAAATTTTGTTGCGTGTAATGTTTGAGATTGCGCCAAAGCCATACAACTATAGGTAACGTGTATAATCATGTTCCTGGGACGTGATAAAGTCAAATTTGAACAAAAAATTGTGGCAGCTCACCAAATTGTTTCTTGTGTTCACAGGAATAACTATTGTAAGATTTCTGATTTCTATTTGACTTCATAGGCGATGTATATTTTATATGAACGTTTTTTCAGCTTTTTTTTTATTAATATGTGATGGTTTTAAAAATGAACATACAAAAATTATATCCAAAATAGACAAGGCAATATTTTTTGAGTGTTTGAATAAATATTAGAGTTTTTAGAATGGTCTTCTTACTACAGTCCTGTTGTAACGCTGTATCCTTCATAATGTGTTAAAAATTACAAATTAAAAAAGTTTCTTTGAATTTTCAAACAATAAGCGATTCCAGTTTACTATCTATTCAAAGAAATCAAAGTGCGTGGAAACATAAAAGATTCTTGTGGTACTTAGTGATTTAAAAACATTTTAGAAGTGCTAGCAAGTGAGTCGTTGTTCCACAGAAAGAGTTGCATGTTTTATATTTAAAGTAATCCCGTTGGTACAACAGATGCCAAAAACAGAATCATATATCGGTCCGTACTACCTTGGCAACATTTTCAGAGCTCTTAAATCCGAGATGATATTCTATAAAGTGGCCTGTTCGCCCAGATAAGCAAATAAAGACATTATTGTAACCCCTGTGGATAAGTTTATAAGATCAGTTTCCACTGAGCAGCATCTCAATGCATTAACGCAGAAAATCCGCCAACTTGCCTGGGAGCCTGCAATCTAAATTGAAGTATAAAGCTGCCCATTCTAAATGATTTAGAGTTAGACCCCCGAGACGTTGTCAATATTTTTCATTCCGCAGCATATCAAGAAACTAGATGATACTGTAGACTAGAGTTGTGTTCCCAGCAGATCTAACTTAAAACGGAAAAGACAAAAATGACGTATATGAATGACTAAATTATGTTGGGAACCACATCGCTTCTGCCACTCTAAAATCCTACGTTAACCAATCTCCTGGAGTGATGACGTCATTTAACATAGGCCTACTCCCGCTTTAAGTTGATCTTGCTGTGAACTCGTTTTATCGTGTTGCCGTATTCTGCACTTGGGTTTTCTGGCAAAGAGATATATATCTGTTTTCCTTTCATTATATGCTTATTGATCGACGACTTCCAGACTACTTGAATCATGTTCGAACTAGTGCATGGGTTGATCAAAGAGTTCGTTTATTGTAGTGTTTTCCGCATATTGAAAGTAATTTTGCCGTAAAGTCATAGCAGATAGCAAATCAATTTTCTCACTACTTGTTTGAAGTATTCAAAGGTCTTTTACTATGAAAAGATCGAAATGATAAAGACGGTGATAAATTTCGGGATAGACAGTGTTATATATTTACTCTTGTACATCGAAAGCTCGTTTGCTTGACGTTTTGAATTATAAAATAAAGTCAGTTGCGATAAGGCACGAAGGAAGAAGTATGGGGCTTCTAACAAAACCCGTTGCATTTAGCATTATCTGACAACAATTTACAATTGTGTCTTTTACAGATTCCGTGATAAAGTTGCTCACCCTGTACAGTTAGATATTTCCCTTTCTAGACCTCAGACACCCACAGACAGAAAATGGAACAAAAAGGGGTGGGGTGGGTGGGGTTCTATGCTGAGTATATCACAGTGTGGCTGAGGCAAATCCGTCCATAGACTTTCAAACTTCTAATGGCGACTTTATGAATTGGGGACTACATAATGGTGTTTGTTGGGAAATAAAGTTCCAAACACGCCCTAGCTCATATTCAAGGTGGCTAATCTTTTTAATCTTTTGGAATAAATATAATTTTTGTTCAGATACAGCTGTATCTGATTGTCGGCAACAGAAGTCCTAGATAGACCTTTTGAAATATGTGAAACATGAATATATTGAAATTTTAAGAAATCAGTAAAGATAATAGTAGTATCCTCATTTAATTTAGAGCTCTTGAGTCGACGTCATATCAAAGAAGTGTAATTGACGAGAAAAAAAGTATCTCTCTGTATCGATTGTAATTATCTTGAAAAATGCTCAATGCTTTTTCAATCTATTATCCACTGGCACTACAAGAATTCAGGAGAAGTGATTTTCCACAGTCACTTTTCTGCGTCCGCACACACAACCAGACAATCTTAGAACGGAACAAGTCTGTATGACGTCATCAGACATTCAGATAACATGATGACCATTTTTAATCGGACAAGGACGCCAATTTTACTCGGCAGATTACGTCAATCAGACAATATCTGATCTAAGTTAAACTTGCTGGGAGCACGGTCGGTGTGATAACTTCTCGCAATACAGTCAGGCCACATGTACATCTGTCCTCCGGGTATCTTATAATCAACTTCCAGCGTCTAAAGTCGATAAAACTTGATTAACCTTGTTCCGCTAAAGCTCAGTGTTAGAATCAAATCTCATACTGCTGAGAATGAGCTCTCGGTCTCCTTGGCCCGCATTTAATGGGGGAGTGTCTTCACAAAACGTATGCCATCTTCGAAAGAACCGCCTTTTTGACCGAAATTTGTCCGCGCTGAATCAAAATTTGATCTAGCTTCAATGTCATTTTTAAAGCTGGCTCAACTAAGAGTGTAAAAAAGACCACTTTTTCAGGAAAAAATTCCATCTTAGAAATTGCTGGTTACAGGTCTCAGTACATTATAAATAACGTATTGCAGCACTTTTGCACAGAACTAATTAGTAGAAGATACGGGACTACATGACATGCTATGGACTCATTCTATGCCCATTATATTAAAGCTCTGTTAAAACTCAGGTTCTTCGGGAAGCACACACACACAAGAAAAAAAACGGTTACATTTCTGTTATAACTAATCCTCAGACCACGTTAGAGCTTTACGCTGTTTTCTCTTATAAAGCACTTTCAGAAGACTTGGGCTCAATCTGTACAATGTCCAAGCTGGTGTCAGCTTGACCAGTGTCCGTGGCACGGTGTCTGTGTAGCACGAGGCCAGCACGTTGTCCACTACAAGGGTACCGCTGGGCGTGTGCGGGTTGAACTGACCGGTCCGCTGGATGCACTGAATGTCAATGACTATATCTGCACGCAGGCGGGGCGTGTTGTCAGAAACATAAATTAGCAGCATGGCCCCCAGAGTGACACGTCGGGCTGATACAAGGTGGACAGTTCCGCGTTCGCTACACACGTGGACATAGTGACCAGGCGCTAGGGTGATTTGAGCCCCGGTTTCTGTGGTCAGCATGACGTAGTTCGCCACGTGGTCAGAGCACGCGTGACCAAACGTAAAAACGGGTTCGAATCTCATTTGACCTGTCCGTGTTGTCACGAGTACAGAGTCCCCCACCTTTAAATCCCTCATGGGCTTCCGTTTCATCGCAGGTGTTAGAACTGTAGAATTACCGGGGAAGCACGCCTTTCTGCTTCCACCACGACGCTGTATGATAGCGCGTACTCTTCCAGACAGCTTTGATTCGATGTCTCTCTTTCGATCCGCGGGCAGTTGATCGTACAATTTCTCCAGCCCCTCGGAGACATCGCCGTGATGAATCATCTCTTCCAGAACCTCGGAGGCGGCGCTATAAAACTCATCCCTGTACCTAGCACCGTTGTTGGTCACCACGAGTTTATCAATCAAATCTAAAAGTTCTGCCCGCTTTTCAGCACGAGAACGAGACCGGATGCTGTTGTCAAGGAAGACGTACCTGTTCTTGATATCCTGAGTGACAAACGTCATGAAGGCCATAGGCTGCCTCTCTATATATTCCGCCTCTGTCATCAAGGCTTGTCCTGTGGCCTGCCGCCTATCGTTATTATCCTGAAATTCGTCCCCATGAGAAATCACCACGATCACGTAGTCAAAAACTTTGGGGCCAACGATCAGTTTGATAAGCTTCAAAGAGTCGCTTTCCTCCTCTGTCAAACGAGTTCCGTACTTCCACACAACCAATATGGCATCAAAGCCAGTTGGTTCCAGAAGCAAACAGCGAGACAGCTCGCGAAACGTGGTTTCCTGGGGACGCCTTGTGTCAAACAGACCTGGAGTGTCCGTAACTGAAATTTTCCTACCATTCACCTTCCTAACCTTACGAATGCACACAGATGTTTCGCTCTCCCCGAGTTCTGACACCCTAAATAGTCCAAGGTCATCCAGCAGAGTGCAGCCTGTAGCGCTCTTGCCGTGGCCAGTTTTGCCGATCAGAACCAATTTCAGCTCGTTCTGTACCTGTGTAAATAACCGTTTATGTGAGTCAATTAAATATGAGGTATCAAAATGTGATTTTAAAATAATAGATATATAGGCCTATATTGCGAATGATATAATCATTCTGGATTTCGTTAACCCCAAATCGCTTAGATATTAAAATACCTTGACTCCAAGCCTAATCTTCTGAAACATCTTGTTCCGTTGACATACTTTAGAGTGAGATATCTGTGGCTTTAATATACGACTTGGCATTCTGTGCATTAAAAAAAAACTCATCTTAGGGCAACTAAACCTGGTTTGAAGACGTGAACTCAAATTGCAAGAAAATGTTCCAGGTAGGCCTAAGTTGGTTAGCCCATGAAAGAAAACCTGTTTTCACACCTATTGCCACTTGAGTATTGCTTTATTTCGCCTTTGTTAGAAAACGCATCTGTTTACACTCAAGCAATGTCTTAAAAGACAACAGTGTGATTTAAAAACATTCACTCTTCATTATTCAATTACAGACTGACAAATATGAACCCGCTTTTTTGGGGGTTAGATATCTTCAAACAAATCTATTTATGTTGTTTCTGTGCAAACAAAACTTCATATAATGTATTTATACATATCTTCTTGTTTCACATTTCCATTAGATATCTTAATATCAAAGGTATTTCTATAAGATACGATTGCAGCAATCGTGAACCACAACAGCGCTCTGTAGTTTTCTACCGGGAAAACAAGCTCAAAGCTTTTCGGTTGGTTCAATAAGAATGATCGATCTCCTACAAAACGAGCATTGGAATAATAAATGAGATCTCTAAATCAGGTGCACGGATTTGTTACTGGCAAATCAACATGGTTCCGAGCTAAACCTGATCGTGCTTTGGGGGATTTTGGAGATTTTGAAGATTAAATATTTCAGTATAGTATTGCTAAGGATATAACCATCCTGGATTTTGTTAACCCCAAATCGCTTAGATATTGAAATTTCTTGACCCTAAGCCTAATTTTCTGAAACATATTGTTCCATCGACATACTTTGGAGTGACATATTTGTGAGACATTTGTGGCATTCCGAGCTAAACTTGATCATGCTTTGGGGGATTTTGGAGATTTTGAAGATTCAACACATACAATGCTCATTTGACCTTGGTATAATAATAATAATAATAATAATAATAATAATAATAATAATAATAATAATGATGTATTTTGCCTTGTAATTTTATCAGCTTTTTCTTTATCACAAAAACAAATCTATCCAAAACCACTGAGAATAGTACGATAATCAAGATTAGTTTAGAAAGTTCTAAATTTCATTTCGTTACTGTCATAAGCAAAATGAAACAGTGTCTGAGTCCAACATGAAAGAATGGCTCTAAGTCTATATATTGAGAACTATGTCAACATTTTTGGATATTGTTGAATTTAACTTAGGTCCTCAAATATTCCAGTACTTAGAGATTAACTTCTAGCAAGTTCACAGAGAGTTATTGCACTATAACTGTTCTGAATTTTTTTTCAAAAAAAAAAAAAAAAAATGAACATATATTACGTCATCACTTGGTGGCATATTTTTGTCCGGTATATAAGAACAGAACATCCCTTCCGATTTCTGGAGGCATGAAAAAACAGCTTTCAGAAAAGGACGCAGTGTGCCTTTGAACATTTGTGCACAGTATCTTAAAAGGAATAAATTATAACAATTAAAATTCTGTATAATATACTGTCGTTAAAGAAAGGCTTCATCACAACTGAAAAAATGTGGTTAAAATCGAGCTTTTCTTTTTAATTAAGCTAAAATTGTCGCTACAGTTGTAGCCGCAAGTACCAAAAATTGGAGAGAACGCCAAAAAGTACTTCTTACTGCACGAAAAAATAGCTTGACTTGTCTTTGAACCAAGAGAAAATTTGCCATAAAATATGATAAATCTCATGTTAAGCAACCTGATTACGTCATTAGAACGGTTTCTGATTCGTCGCGCCTTTTGTGTCTATGTTAGACCGACTTTAAGCATGGACAAATTATATTAAATAATTTAAATTATTATATTAAATAATTTGTCCTTTCTGCTAGTTCTGAAATTTAATACTCTGAATTTACCTTGGCAGAAGATTGACTCGGTGAGGGTGATGCGCCTTGTGGTCCTCCCTTTGACACCACCGTTGGAAGACGTTTTTCCTGGGACTGAGATTTTTCTTTGCATTCTTCCCACACACAAAAAATAAGAAAGAACAAGAAATGAGGATATATTTCTTCTGAAAACTTCAAATGCTGCTAAAACAATTAGTGTTTTTCGCAGCCAAGATCAATTTAGTGCAAGGCCTTCTGTGGATAAGTTGCTTTTTTGTCTCAGACAGTTTGGCAAGCTTTTATAGGAATAAGTAGTTAATATAAAATGGGCACCGCCGTATATCTATTTTGAACAAAACTGATGGCATTTTTTTCATCTTACAAAAGAAACCAATTTAGCAACCAAGATGTGTCAGTAGCGTGACCTACTTTGAGCATCGTCTGCCAGATCGGCTTGCCCCACTCGCCGCAACGCTGCAGTAAGATTGTCAAAGGCAGCGTCCGTGTCTTCCTGTTCCTTCCACCAGTCTTTCAGTTTCTGTGCCATGGCGCGCCGCGGGTCGCGTTGCTCGCACACAATGGTGGCGTGGTCCATGGGAAAACCAAGCTCTACGATAAGCTTGTGTAGATTCCATTGTGTCAAATTCTCTGCCAAATGTTGAAATAACTTATCTACGTTCATTTTGTAATACAGTATTCTTGAATATTTGGAAGATTTTCACAGGTTTCTACAACCCTTGTCCCGTCCTTCTGTTCTCTGAACATAATGTTAATTATATTGCTGAAAATTCTGCCTACGTCATTATCAAAGTCATTATTAATGGCGGCGTTACAGGAAAACATTTTATTTAGTTGCTTCACATTAACTAAAGCATCATATATCCATGTCTTCAAATGTTGTTTAAAACACCTACCTCTATTTTATATTTAAAATTGCTCATTGGTTTCCAGTCCTTTCGTAAACTTTACGTGAGCATATGCCCCATGGCAGAAAAATAAATGGCAGCAAAATTTTGAAGATTTACAGCTGCAACCCTCAGCATTTCAGCATACGCAAGTGCTGTGTACATAGAGATAAGACAGCCTCCTTCAAGAGAATATGAAATATTACTAACATCCAGTTTTTAATTAAGATACGCCGAGCCATGCGAGTGAAAACATAGTTTACGTTGAGAGGATAACGCTGGAGAGGTAGACTTGAACGAGGTAAGTGAAGGAAAATTTGTCAATATTCTCAATTCCGCGCCATTGTTGGTGTTGGCTCCCGTATTAAGATGGCTCCGTTCTTTAGGATGGAGAGAGAGAGAGAGAGAGAGAGAGAGAGAGAGAGACTGTATATTTTGGTTACCGCACTATCATTTTAAAGAATCATAACTTTCTACATTCTTCTTGGCAAAAATTAACATTGTCAGTGTGTTCATATGCGACATGTTAATGATATGTCGACGAGGTTTTAATATTTCCCTTCGATCGTGTGCTATTCGTTCTTACATATACAAGTATTAGAAAACAGGAGGTAGAAAAATAAGACATTTAAAGGTAATCACATAATTTTACGGTCCATGACAGTCATGGAGTTACTGCCTTCACAGATTTACTTTTTTAATTTTGTTCTTATCATAGCTGCAGATACGGGGAATAAATATTGACTCCGAATCATATTTTTTTTATGAATCGCAAAAGTGTGGATAATTTATGAGAAAAGCCTTAACATAATGCTATGGAGGCGGCCATCTTTGCACGTGACCAGGTACACCCATATTCGTAATCAGAAAGCTTTGTCGCTCAAATTCAATCAATTTAGTGAAATTCTGTCAATGAAGTGAAATATCATAGCTAATTAAATTGACCTTTTGAAATATTTCGATGAGAGAAGAGTGTCACAGATAGTGCAAAATGTATGTCTTAACTCACTTTGCCTCGACTCCATGCCTTTAAGCTAATGCCAGATTGTCATTTTCTGTAACATAGCGGTTTTCATTCTTATGGAAAGTATTGCACATCTTTTACAACATTAATGAACTCAAAAAAAATCCATCATACCTGTACAATATTGATAACGTTTAGCTTGCATTTAATATATTATTATTATTGCAATTCTACGTAAGTGCTTCACAAAGCATTAGGTAGTAAGATTACGGGAAACAATGTTGCAGAGGGAATATTTCTCAGGGGTAGTAATCAGGCCTTTACTTTCTGAAGTTCAGATATTAAAGTATTTGCTATAAACGCTCTGAGCACGAAATCTCTCATTTTACTGTATTCCAGATAGCACGCGCCATGTCTCGTGAGAGCATTGACCAAGAGGATGAGTTCCCAGAAAAGGTGCGTGCTGTGATTATAATGTCGTGTTTCCACTTAACTTGGGCCGACCTAACCCGGTGTGACAGGAATAGTAGTCCTAGGAATGGAAGTCCAGGTCTCATTAAATAGTACAGGTTAGGGTTTAACCGTTAGTTGGAGTATTAGGGTTATTATATGGGACGAATGTCACCTGTACAAAGTAATGGGGAACGGACAACGGAACCTAGCGGACTACCATTCCTGTCACAGTGGTACGCCCACCTCAGGGAAACGTGTGATCTCTGTTGTCTCAATATTGTATTTGAGATTCTGCAAAGGTGATTTGTACCGAATGAGGTAGATCCATCTTGATAATTGCTCTTTGACATGTACGATTTTCTGACTACATTTTTAAAAAAGGACTACTGCAATATTTGCGTCAATTTATCAAATTGAAAGAAGTACGGTAATATGCCAAACAATTCGACCAAGATTAATTAATTAATTTCATGGAAATGTCAGTTTGGTCGAATTGATTAAAATATAGCAATGGAAATCTTTGATATCGTCGGATTGTTAGGAGCATCTGCCAAAACGTCCATCTTACCGGAAGTATTGCATTTTACCGGAAGTGTAACGCAAGATAAGCCGCAATTTTCACCTAACACGTGTTTCAAGCACGTTTTATCCTCCTTTTAAAATTTTATTTTGCTGTGTACAATATGTGCTAACATAACTTGAGATTCAAACAGGCGACAGTTCATAATTTCTATCTATTTATTTCCCTCACCGACGATCACTTTCATGACGCGCTTTACAAGTGGGACGCTTTTTCCCCCGGAGACAGGTGTTATAAACAATGCCCGGTCACTTATATTTGAAACCGGTAGCTTTAGTTGACTGTTGACTTAAACCAGTTATGTGATCTACCTACGCTCTATTTGAATTTTAATATGTCAACCAAATTGAGATATTTTTTACCAGTCTGAGATCAGTTGTTTTCAACTTGCAAGGCTTGCTTGGCGTAGACGTACGCATTTCCGAAGAAAATTCAATCGCCCCTATCAAAGAATACCAAGTGGTACTCAAACGGAATTCAGTGTCACTTTAAATTACTTTTCAGTATTTAATTTAAAAATCATGTCATATTAAAACATATTAAAAAGGCAATCTACGGAGCCTACCTGTGCCGATAGACATCTTGTTGGCACTCTTCCGATTTTCTTACACATATACACTCGCTGTGCACAAGCCACGGTGCATATTAAAAACCCAACTGATACAACCCGAACGTAAAATAAGCATTTAATTGCCATAATTTACACAAAACAGATGCATTAATAATTTGACGTGAGAATTGAGCAAACGCAGAAATCAGGCCTTCCCAACTACCAGACTCGGCACCTACGGATCCAGAATAAACCGGTATATCAAACCACACTACCCGTTTTCAAGGTGTGTGTCAGATCGCATTACAGAGTATCATACCCCATCACAAATTTTGTAAGCCTACCTGTCATCCTGGTATCGCGCCTCGTTTTCGTCAAGTAGGAGTCGTATGAATACAACAACATTGCATGGCGACAGACGACTCCTTCAATCTTGTCGGGGGTGGAAACGCGCTACTTGTATGATTAAGACGAGCCTAGCCGTCAGTACCGGATATTGTTTTGTGACCTTGAGGAGCAATTTGGTTTGGTCGTTGCGGCACGCATGAACAGTAGTTGAACTACCACACCTGGGTCTTTTCTTTTTGACAACTGTTCACTCGTCATCGAGGCGCTTGTTCAAGACTACAGGCTGATATCTACTAGTACTACCAGTGGCTTCATTAGTAACGTTCCCACAATACTTAGTTTTCTGTCTGTGCGTACATACCCTGAAAAAAGCCAGCCTCGCTGACGAGAACAATGGACGTTTCTCACCCTTCTCTAGGATTACCCCTGATCACGTCCATCCCGCTAGTCATGAAAATATTCCACCCCCGACAGAATATGCTTCCGCTATCAAATTTAGGTCTGTTTTTCTAAATTAATATATAAGTTTGCAAGTTCTTATTTACAAAACATCATTGGCTATGTTCGAACCTAAATTTTATATTTAAAATTGCGGTATTGTCAGATTTTTAGCATAAACAGGGAAAATTGCAGCAGCGCATGAATATAGATGAGATGCACTACTTTCCAACCCCGCTTAGGATCATTGCTATCACATCGTGCACCAGGCAAAATCGGTGTGGTAGCTGATACTCTGTAATGCGATCTGACACACACCTTGAAAACGGGTAGTGTGGTCTGATATGCCGGTTTATTCTGGATCCGTAGGTGCCGAGTCTGGTAGTTGGGAAGGCCTGGAAATGAGAGACTGGTCTGCTCCAGCATACCTAGCGCAAACCACATGTTAATGAAGACGGTCCCATTGTGGGGGAGGGGGGTCACAGGAATGGAGTTCTTCACGGATTACGCTAAATAATATCAACGTTTCATGCATCTGGGGAAATAAAAAGTGACTCACAGGTAACGTAAATACCCAGTGGAACTCTCTGTGAAGCTCCGCTTTTCACCGCCATTTAAGTTACTGTTTTTTTCTAATAAGGAAGACGTCATTTTTATTGTTGACAAAACAGTTATCCATGTCGGTGAATAGCTACACGCGTTCGTCAGATTTTGACAGCGCGTGGTATTTGGCGCCAAGAAGTCTAGGCGGTCGATCTCACTGATCTTTCAGTCGACTGTAGTAAATGTAGGATCTCGCGGCACTGACTTCAAGAACGTTTCCCCTGCATATATTTTTCAATCAAACTTGAAAACAAATTGCTTATTATTCCCAAAATTTTTATTGCTAGCATACGCTATGTATGGTCTATATGAAGATGTTTACTACACATCCTACCCACTGTCGACATTTGGTTTCATCCAGAACAGACATCCCCCCTCCCCCAGTTACAGGCGTGACGAATCAGTCAGCGAGGGCAAGTCTGCTAAATTAGCACAATTTGTATGTCTATAAGCACTATTTTTGCCATCGGGGACAAAGGAAATGACAGGTACGTCTCGCTTCCATATTAGATCTTCAAATAATTGTTTCTTCCTCATTGACAAAAGCTATTGAAAGGACAACAATTGACAAAGGGCCGAGACATGCAGCATCTATTTCACTGGCTTGAAAATTTACCGAGTCTTGCCGACGATGTGGTCGAACAATCGGAACAAGAAAAAAATTCTGTCGCATGATTTTGACGTATGGACTAAATGTTTGAGCCCAGAAAAATTAATTTTATAATATAATTTTTTGGGTCGGATTGACTGGGCCCGTCGAAATGCTTGGCACATTACCGTAGTTTTAAGCAGATATGTCTATTTGTTCAGTGCGTATAAAAACGATTATAAAAAACAAATGTACGATTCTCAACTTTTTAAGATGGATCGGGACAAAATGGAGTACTGATCGCATTGTATGCATGCAAAAACCACTGAAGTGAAAAATGAGGGAAGGATGAGCACAAGCCCCTTGTAGCAGCATTTCTTTATTCAAAATTCTTTATCTCAACTTCTTACTGCAGGGCAGCCCCTTGACAGTTCTAGTGGTTGGCAGAGATGGCTCTGGTAAAAGCGCCACAGGGAACACGTTGCTCTGCAATGACAGAGCATTTGAGACCTCGGACACTATGCGATTTTCCAATATCTGCCAAATGAAGCACGGGAAAGTGTCGGGTAGGAAAATCCAAGTTTTTGACGTACCGAATCTTCCATCGAGGAAGGTCGGCATTCACAAAGCAAGGACGGAGTTGCGGCGCTGCTTTCAGATTGCCACAGGCGACGTGGATGCCTTTCTGTGGACGATCAGGTATGGCCATAGATTTGACGAGCTTGATGAAGAGTTCCTACAAGATTGCGTCCTTTATTTCGGTCCAAAATTCTACGATTTCGCCGTGCTCGTAGTCACCCATGCCGATTTACAAACGAAAAACAATGACAGGTTGAGCACGCTGGGCAAACATGTGAAGAACGCGGACGACTACATTGATGAACAACCTCTCCCTCTGTTCAGCGTTGTGAGAGACAAGTTCAACGGCAGATTTATTTTTATCGATAATTACTCGGCAAGGGACGGAGCATCAGAAAACGAAGCAGGGCGATTGATTCAAGTCTTGGATAAAATGCAAACGAATTCTTTCGCTCAGTATAGAGAGGAAGACTTTCTACTGGCTGCAGCGCCAAGCAAACTGGAGGTGGAAGAGTCAAGAGCGACAGAGGACGGACGGTCCGGGTGCACTTGGTGCTGCCTTCTGCTGCCGTTCTGGTGCAAGTGCGCGCACAGAAGGAAAGTTCAAGCATGCTGCTTTGACTAAATGCGCTGACTAAGGGCTCATACCCAATGAGACTATTGTTGCACGCCCCGTTTTGTTTTCAAGGTTCTCGTAGAATCACTACCCTCTTTCAAGAAGGTAAAAATTATAGGCGAATTTTCCAAATGCCTTTTTGACAGAGAACCAAATGACTGTATTTATCTAAAGATATATATGTGAATATCTTGTGAAAAAAATCAATCTGTCGCCCTGGTAGAGGGTGTATCATCACCAGCTTATCTGAATTCTTCTCGACGCCAGGAGGCGTGTTAATCTGATTGCATTCAGCGAGAAGCCCAGCTGAGTTGGATCCATCTACGTAGAACGACGGTTTCATTGGGCTTACTCTTGAGGAAACATTGCATTTTCTATTTTTGGTAGACTTTTGAGAGATATTTGGTTAAACCAAAGTGTGCAGTGTATATTGTAACTTTGTAAAAAAATTGGCAAGTGAATAAAGTATTAACCGCGTTTACTATATAGCTGTTTGCCAATGCGTTTTTCGACGTGTTTTTTTTTTCAACTTTCACAACTGCCTCATGTTGATAAATATTAAAAATACCCGTATGAATGTTCCGGTAGGGAACGGTGGGGGTTGCAGAGATGCAGCTGGGAAGGGAAGGCACCAATGTTAAAAGTGGTGAAATTATGGAGCATTCTTTAAAGCGCTTTCTTGATAAATAATATTTATTTAATAAAAAGCCATATATTAATTGCGCTAAATGAATAACACAAATAATGACAAGTAATAAAATGAAAACAAAATGTAAAAGATCCATAAACGAGGTCGGGATAGCGTTTCTTTAGCTGGTCGCGTATAAGAGTTAAATTATAGAGCGTAAAACAAACCGTGTCTTGAATACTGTATTGAACTGTCAAAGTCAAAAAGTAGCGAAGATCAAGACGTAAAGGACGGACGCAGGTTAGGTTTTAAAATGATTTTAATGACCCCCCCCCCTCCTACTGGGTTCACGGCATTGCAGTGTAACAATAAATTAAGAGTGATAAACAATGGCTCAATCCGTTTATTTTGTCTAAATATTAATTTTTTTGTAATATGAGCTCATTTTAAGAATATTACAGCAAATGTCAACAGCTTAAAACTTACATGTTGAATATGAAGTGCCTCTCAGCGACAAAATGCTTACATGACCGATAACTGAAGAGCGCCAATCTCTTACGAATATAATATAGCAAAGAAAACCTGCAATATGCCAGACTGTATCACATATACTTCTAATGCGAGTTTGCTGTAGTTACTTCACATTTTTATTTTCTCTTACAAAAAAAGTACTTTTGTTCCACAAAGTCATAAAGAGCGGTTGTCGTGCTTATGCTTTCTGCTAAAAAAAGGACGAATGTTCAGCAATTCACAAACAGAGCATGGTTCCAATACATCGACATTTTCTGTGCAATGACGTGTTCTAGTTTAATATCGGTTCAGAAAGATCAAAACAAACGTGGGAAAACACCAAGGAGACCATCGTGAAATGAAAGACAGTATTTTCTGGGAATATTATCACAAGGATGAGTAACTGAAACATTTTGGTCTTCTTTTAGATCAAAAAAGATTATTATACGTGAATCTTGGGTAAATTAATAGTAAACCATAAAACCAACCACTTTTCTGGCCTAAAAATGCTTCTTTCTATGCATTTAGAAAAACCAAAATGCCTGACAGTGAGTATACTAAGGTTTGGCTCAAGTTCTTGTGTGAAGTTATCCACTAAGTAAACAGAGTTGAGTGTGCTGTACTAAAGAAAATATGGCTCAACAGGATGTCTTGGGTGCAAATCAACAAACAAACGGTTTCATCACAGTCTAAACAACTCAAATCACAAAGGACAACAAATAAATTACAAGGAACACTGCCACAACTGTCATAAACTGTTTACAGGAACTGTTTCCACAGGAAGGCATTCTTTATAACAGTTGAATCTAATTTTCAAATATATGGTACAAAATTTCGGGTCTTTTCATTAATAGGAAAACTACCTTTTTTTAATTGGAATAGAAACAGGATCAATTTTCTTCTGTTGTCATTCAGCATTGCAGCATGCAGTCAAACATAAATTTGCCATCCAATTCATATTCCACAAACAAAAACAATACAGGAACCCACAAAGAAGATTTAAGTTAAAAATTTCTACAATTGCAGTCATGTTATGTAATCCATTCTTTTCAGACCAGTTTGCATTGTGTCTTTTCTATGAATTTGCAGCAGAGAGGAACTCGTTAATTAATTAATTAACTAATAATCCAGACGACCCATTTTCTAATCGGAGGAGCTAACTCCGACCAGCTGCATCAGGCCGTCGGTGCTCATGGACTTTGGTCTTTCGAGTGGAAGTCCTAAAGCGCGGTCCCACACCAGAGAAGCCAGAGTTCCCAGAGCTCTGGACACACCAAACAACACTGTGTAGTAGTTCATCTCTGTCATGCCATAATGCTGAAATACAAAACAAAATACGTTTTTGCCTCTTTAAAATATGTGGGGAAAAAAGTGTTTGGAGGGTGGTAGAAAAAACAAACTGGGTAACTCCATAAAAAAAGACTTAAGGAGTTTTCTGACACTACATTCAACTCTGATCACTTTTCATGGGATCATCAGAATTAAATTAAAAATCATTAAAAATTTTAATTTAAAAATGCAGACCAGGCCTGAATTAAAAATCATTATAACTGCATTTAAAATGCTGAATTCTGTGATCCCACAGAAAAAAGCTTTCGTTTGTCAGTGGACAAGAAAAATTTAAAATAGTGTCAGTTACCTGCAGCAAGACTTCAGACCATTTATCATGCGAGAATCAGAAACCATCAGCAATGCATTGAAAACCATAAGAGTTGAATTAAAAAAAGGCAGAATTCCACGATCCCCCAAAAAATGTTTTTGGAGGTGTCAGTTTACCTGCAACAGGACTCCGCTGTGAGCATCCACGTTGGGCCAGGGGTTCTTGGCCTTGCCCTGCTCCAGGAGGATGTCTGGCACCAGCTTGTAGAGCTGGCTGACCACTTGGAACAGAGGGTCATCTGGCAGGTGCTTCAGGGCAAACTCACGCTGACACTGATACCTGGGGTCAGTCTTTCTCAGCACGGCGTGGCCGTAGCCCGGAACAACCTGAAATGTAGCGACCCGTGCAAAGTGGTTTGCTTTATGGGCATGGTTAATTAGGTTCTTTAAGAAATAATTACTCTTGAAGACCAGTTCTTTAGAAAAAGTCAGTTGGTTCGCTTAGTTCAGCCTGCTAAACTCAGAAAGCCAACTGCTCCCAAAGCAGTCTCAGATCAGTTCACTATCCTACTTCAAAGTAATTACAACCCAAAGTCAGCTATCATCAATGTGATTAGAAATCAGTCTTGAGAGAATTATATTTTCTCTTTGAGTTAAATAAGATTTTCTCTTTGAGAGAATTAGATTTTCTCTTTGGCTCTCTTTTCAGACCGGAAAAACAAAAAGCATTACAAGAAGTCAGTAGGATTGTTAGTGAAAATCAACTTAATCTATAATGTAATATATAATCATTATTATTCATTTATTGTTACAACTCCTCACCTGTCCTGATTTGAGTGTGTTCCAGATAAAGTTTTTGACATTATCATCTGTAAGATCTCCACCCAGAGCCTCTTGGCACCTCTCTAACCACACTAACACCTCCTGAAAGGATCAAATAAACTGAAGTTAATCACAAAACTGGGGACAAAGGCAAACAATATATCTAGTATATATATATATATATATATATATATATATATATATATATAAAGTGCCTCCTCTTATTTCCAAAGTACTCATACAATCACCATCTTTTCTGTATTCTACTCAACGCCAAGAGAAGGTGTGTTAATATGTCATTCTGACTGCATACAGCAAGAGTCCCCAAGAAGTTAGACTGATCTATGTAGAATGATAGTTTCATTTGGGAATGAGCCCTGTAAGTTTTTTTTCCATTTGTGAACTGCCCGCTGGTCACAAGAGACGAACGTTAAACTGACCTGATTGGCAAGTCCGTGTAGGGGTCCCGCGAGGCCGTTCATTCCTGCGGCAAAGGAGAGGTAGGGGTCCGAGAGGGCGCTGCCTACAAGGTGGACTGTGTGAGCACTGACATTGCCACCTTCATGGTCACTGGAAACACAGAAAGACAGGGAATTAAATCAGGAGATTCTAGAGGTCGCTGCCTACAAGGTGGACTTCTTTATTACTGGGAACACAAAGTTTAATATCACAAGACACTTCAGCAAGAATCAACAAAGTATACTAGGAAAGAAGTCTTTCATGGCCATAAGGGAAGGTGACAAAAAACTGTCAGTTATTCTTGACTAAAGATTTAAAAAGAGACAATTCGGTCTACCATCTAAGAACTTTGGTGTATAGTTAGTCTTCGGGGACATCTCAAATAGTTCAGATACTACATGTATACGTTTAAAATCAAAAAAAATTCTTTGTTATTGAAGAATAGCATGGCATCCCAGTAATACAGCTGCCCTTTACCTGTGAATACATAGGTATAATCTCAGGAGTTCTGTGAAATAAGGGTCATCATATTCCCAGAAATACAGGTGCCCCTTACCTGTGAATACATAGGTATAATCTCAGGAGTTCTGTGAAGTATGGATCATCATATCCTAGCATGGAGGCAAAGTTGCCAGACCAGTCATTGTTGGGATCAATGGCACCCACATTTGTCCCCTCGCGATACAGGTTTCTGTAGATCATGGCGGCCACGGTGGGCAGTTTGGCGATTAGGTCCATGGCATCTTCGTATGCATACTGAAATAGAAAAGTGAGGCCAAATTTAAGTGAAAACTGCACTGGACAAAAAGCCTTAGCTCAAAAATACTTGGCATTCATTTGTGGTAATTATGTGATCTATAAACAGTTTTGAATGTTGCTAAATTTATAAAACATCTTTTTTAAATTCTCGTCCAATGACTTTTGTTTTGCCAGGACTTGACAATACAAGCTCATCTTTTTCAAATATTGCCACTAGAGACTTACAACCAACACTTTTTGTTCCTCACCAAAAAATCTAGTCTATGCTAATATATATTCTACAAGAGGACCTACCTCCCAGTATTTTGCCTTATGAACACCGTCAGAGTAAGCCTTAGCAAACTTGCTCTCGCTGCTGAGAGCGGTGATGGCAGCACTGAACTGTGCCATGGGGTGCAGAGTGCTGGGGAAGTTGTTCAACATGGTCACTACGTGGGAGGGGATGTCGGCTCTCTCAGCCCATTCCTACAACACACAGATAGGAAAAAATAAATAAATATATTAACAACACGTGGCCACTCCACCTTACCCTATAACCCATACTAAATATATGCAAACATTCTTATCTTACATAGGCAAAAATTCTCAGACAAGTATCATATAAAAAAAACCTTGGGCCTACAAATTTTCTAAAAGTGATAAAACAAAGAAGGATTCAATATCATATATTATTCAATATCAACTGAAGCATCACTGCATTTAGACAAAATAATACTACTTACACTATTTTGTTGGTGATATCTGAAAAGGTGATTTAAAACTGTTCAAGAATTTGTGATTCATTAAACATCACTATACTGAAAAATTAAGAAAATAAATAAATAAATAAATAAATAAATAGTTTTCAATTTGAAAAATTGTAGCTGTACCCACCCTGGAGAGGTGCTCCACCTGGTGCTTGTTTGGAATCTTTCCAGTAAGCAACAGCCAGAAGATCCCCTCTGGTAGCGGTTCCTCCCCGCCTGGGATCTTGGGGAGCAGTTCTTGGCATTCTGGGATACTGTAGCCACGGAAACGGATCCCTTCCTCGGGGTCCAAAACCGACGTCTCGTACACCATGCCCTTAATGCCTCTCATGCCGCCATAGGCCTGAGTGAAAAGGACAAATAATTCAAATTTTTTGACAAAAAAAGAAAAAAAAAAAACATTCGCATTGAAATATATAATTAAGGGAATCCATATTTTGAATCCCAAGATGGGCAAGTGACAAACTAAATACTTTTGCATTTCTAAAATAAGCCTTTTTTAATATTTTCATAGGCCCAAAATAGCACTATCTTTGAGTGTAAAAATCTCAAACCTGTGCTTACCTGATCTACAGTCACCTGTCCAATGACTGAACCACCATGAGCCTTCCTGAAATCTGACACACGCACTTGTTCTGAAGAGATAATTTCTGCCAGAATCTCCTTTAGGTTCTGAAAAACAGACATTTTGGGTAATTTAGTAACGAGAGTATTAAAAACACAATATCATCCAGGTTATGATATATAGTGATAATATTTTAGGTAACACAAACAATTTAACATGTGAATAGTCTTTTGATACAGCAAGGTATAATGGTTATACCTATTAAATCCTCCTGAATGTAGGTATTACCAATATAAATATTGGGTCACTAAATGAAATAAAAACCTACAGAAAAAGTGAAGCAAAAAAGCCAAGCAAGCAATGTTTTCAGTGTAAAGTGCCCCTGCATCACAAAGAACACCATCACCCCTCTGATACATGAGGATGTTTGATGAAATGGTGTATCAAATATCACATGGTAGTGAGGGGTTGGTTCTGGGAATGTTTTTGATTGGGACTGGAAGGGGGGGGGGGCAAAAAATACTTTAGTCGATACAAACAAAATGCCATCAGAGCAAGCCCACATAAAACATTGTAATTGGACACTAGGAGTGAAGGACATAATTAGGGAAACACACTGTTGAAGTAGTTAAGTGTGAAGCTTTAGAAATTTCCTGCAAACAAAATTGTATAAGAAGAATTGGACTAAGTAAAAACCTTTAAAGGTTTCTGGTTAAAGGCAACTGTACAACATCAATATTGCCAAAAAGCTGGAGCATACAGCACAGACTAGATAGTGCAAGCATCTAGTGCTGCCAACCTGCAAGAATACTCAAATTTAAAATCTGAAATTAATTTAAAATTTGGAAAGAATATTTTTGGAAAAAATAAACAGAAAACATAATAATAAAATGAGAACCTACAACTCATAAAAAATATATAAACGAGTAACATAAGGTCAAAAATCCCTAACATCTTATCAAAATAAAAAGTGTCAAAATGACAACCAGTGATCACAATTTTGAAACTAAAAGGGGCAAGTACACCTCCCAATTTGAAGCGCTCATCGCCTTAGTCAATCCATATAAACACATGTTTTTTTCCCCTTAATATCCACACTATCAAGGATATCATTTGTCGTAAGATACCATTACTATGATATTATATTCTTTTAAGCTAAATAAACTCTTCTAATTATTATTATCGCTTTCATTATTATATTCATATTTCGCACTTCATCCATGTCTTCAATACATTTTGTTGCCAAACAGAAGGAACCTTTTAGAATGGTTTGCATTTTTCAATGTTTATTTGTACCAAGATAAATTGGTCAAAGCCACTCAAGTGAGTGGTTGAAAAATATTGTAAATGCAAGCCACAGAATCCTGACATAAATGATTAGGAAGATTACCAAAAATAAAATTTAATAAACACCACCATTTTTTTTTTTTTACAATATGAGACCACGTTGGGGTCTAGTATCTTATGTGAAAAATCTGTAAAAACAAAACAATGTCATAAAAATGGGCTTTTAAAATGCGTTAGTAATTACTAAGGACACAGGCCTGGGGGAATTAGTAAATCATCAATCTAACAATTATAAGGGGCTTGGTTTAGTTTTACCATCTTGTTCTCACGCCCAAGCATATTTACCAATAGACACCCTTTATCGATTTAGTAATGTGAGTAGTATCTGATAATGTCAATGATAACCATGATAAGCCAGAGGGAATCCTGTATTTTCACATTATATAAGCACCAGTGGGACGCACCATGTCAATCATGAAACAGGGTTACTGATGAATATCAAAAGAGAGATTACCCCCCCCCCCAAAAAAAAAAAAACTAAGTGCATTTTCCATAGTGTTAGTGAATCTAGGCAGATATGGAAAGTGCTGAATAAAGAATACAATTAAGCCAGCTACCATCCAACTGAAGTAATTAAAAAAG